ATGTGTTCTCTCTCTCATGTGTTCTCTCTCTCGTGTTCTCTCTCTCATGTGTTCTCTCTCTCGTGTTCTCTCTCATGTGTTCTCTCTCTCATGTGTTCTCTCTCTCATGTGTTCTCTCTCTCATGTGTTCTCTCTCTCATGTGTTCTCTCTCATGTGTTCTCTCTCTCATGTGTTCTCTCTCTCATGTGTCCTCTCTCTCATGTGTTCTCTCTCATGTGTTCTCTCTCTCATTTGTTCTCTCTCTCATGTGTTCTCTCTCTCATGTGTTCACTCTCTCTCGTGTTCTCTCTCTTGTGTTCTCTCTCTCATGTGTTCTCTCTCATGTGTTCTCTCTCGTGTTCTCTCTCATGTGTTCTCTCTCATGTGTTCTCTCTCATGTGTTCTCTCTCGTGTTCTCTCTCTCATGTGTTCTCTCGCATGTGTTCTCTCTCCCATGTGTTCTCTCTCATGTGTTCTCTCGCATGTGTTCTCTCTCTCATGTGTTCTCTCTCATGTGTTCTCTCTCTCATGTGTTCTCTCATATGTGTTCTCTCTCGTGTTCTCTCTCATGTGTTCTCTCTCTCATGTGTTCTCTCTCATGTGTTCTCTCTCGTGTTCTCTCTCTCATGTGTTCTCTCTCGTGTTCTCTCTCATGTGTTCTCTCTCGCATGTGTTCTCCTCTTTTCTCTCTCTCATGTGTTCTCTCTCATGTGTTCTCTCTCTCATGTGTTCTCTCTCTCATGTGTTCTCTCTCATGTGTTCTCTCTCTCATGTGTTCTCTCTCTCATGTGTTTTCTCTCTCATGTGTTCTCTCTCTCATGTGTTCTCTCTCATGTGTTCTCTCTCTCATGTGTTCTCTCTCTCATGTGTTCTCTCTCTCATGTGTTCTCTCTCATGTGTTCTCTCTCTCATGTGTTTCTCTCTCATGTGTTCTCTCTCTCATGTGTTCTCTCTCTCATGTGTTCTCTCTCATGTGTTCTCTCTCTCATGTGTTCTCTCTCTCATGTGTGTTCTCTCTCTCTCATGTGTTCTCTCTCTCATCATGTGTTCTCTCTCTCATGTGTTCTCTCTCTCATGTGTTCTCTCTCTCATGTGTTCTCTCTCTCATGTGTTCTCTCTCTCATGTGTTCTCTCTCTCATGTGTTCTCTCTCTCTCATGTGTTTCTCTCTCTCATGTGTTCTCTCTCTCTCTCTCTCATGTGTTCTCTCTCTCATGTGTTCTCTCTCTCATGTGTTCTCTCTCTCATGTGTTCTCTTCATGTGTTCTCTCTTCATGTGTTTCTCTCTCTCATGTGTTCTCTCTCTCATGTGTTCTCTCTCTCTCTCTCTCATGTTTCTCTCATGTGTGTTCTCTCTCTCATGTGTTCTCTCTCTCATGTGTTCTCTCTTCATGTGTTCTCTCTCTCAGTTCTCTCTCTGTGTTCTCTCTCTCATTGTGTTCTCTCTCTCTGTGTTCTCTCTCTCATGTGTTCTCTCTCTCATGTGTTCTCTCTCATGTGTCTCTCTCTCTCATGTGTTCTCTCTCTCTCATGTGTTCTCTCTCATGTGTTCTCTTCATGTGTCTCTTTCATGTGTTCTCTCTCATGTGTTCTCTCTCTCATGTGTTCTCTCTCTCATGTGTTCTCTCTCTCATGTGTTCTCTCTCTCTCATGTGTTCTCTCTCTCATGTGTTCTCTCTCTCATGTGTTCTCTCTCATGTTTCTCTCTCATGTTCTTCTCCAGTGTTCTCTCTCTCTCTCATGTGTTCTCTCTCTCATGTGTTCTCTCTCTCATGTGTTTCTCTCTCATGTGTTCTCTCTCTCATGTGTTCTCTCTCTTCATGTTTCTCTCTCATGTTTCTCTCTCATCATGTGATGTTCTCTCTCTCATGTGTTCTCTCTCTCATGTGTGTTCTCTCTCATGTTTCTCTCTCATGTGTTCTCTCTCTCATGTGTTCTCTCTCTCATGTGTTACTCTCATGTGTTCTCTCCTCTCTCATGTGTTCTCTCTCGTGTTCTCTCTCTCATGTGTCTCTCTCTCTCATGTGTTCTCTCTCTCATGTGTTCTCTCTCTCGTGTTCTTCTCTCGTGTGTTCTCTCTCTCTCTCTCATGTGTTCTCTCTCTCATGTGTTCTCTCTCTCTCTCTCTCATGTGTTCTCTCTCTCATGTGTTCTCTCTCTCTGTGTTCTCTCTCTCATGTGTTTCTCTCTCAGTGTTCTCTCTGTGTTCTCTCTCTCATGTGTTCTCTCTCATGTGTTCTCTCTCTCATGTGTTCTCTCTCTCGTGTTCTCTCTCTCATGTGTTCTCTCTCTCATGTGTTCTCTCTCTCATGTGTTCTCGTGTTCTCTCTCATGTGTTCTCTCTCTCATGTGTTCTCTCTCTCATGTGTTCTCTCTCTCATGTGTTCTCTCTCTCTCATGTGTTCTCTTCATTTGTTCTCTCTCTCATGTGTTCTCTCTCTCATGTGTTCTCTCTCTCATGTGTTCTCTCTCGTGTTCTCTCTCGTGTGTTCTCTCTCATGTGTTCTCTCTCTCATGTGTTCTCTCTCATGTGTTTCTCTCTCTGTGTTCTCTCTCTCATGTGTTCTCTCTCTCTGTGTTCTCTCTCTCATGTGTTCTCTCTCTCATGTGTTCTCTCTCTCATGTGTTCTCTCTCTCATGTGTTCTCTCCGTGTTCTCTCTCTGTGTTCTCTCTCATGTGTTCTCTCTCTCGTGTTCTCTCTCTCATGTGTTCTCTCTCTGTGTTTCTCTCTCATGTGTTCTCTCTCTCATGTGTTCTCTCTCTCATGTGTTCTCTCTCTCATGTGTTCTCTCTCTCATGTTTCTCTCTCATGTGTTCTCTCTCTCATGTGTTCTCTCTCTCATGTGTTCTCTCTCTCATGTGTTCTCTCTCTCATGTGTTCTCTCTCATGTGTTCTCTCTCTCATTTGTTCTCTCTCTCATGTGTTCTCTCTCTCATGTGTTCACTCTCTCTCGTGTTCTCTCTCTTGTGTTCTCTCTCTCATGTGTTCTCTCTCATGTGTTCTCTCTCGTGTTCTCTCTCTCATGTGTTCTCTCTCGTGTTCTCTCTCATGTGTTCTCTCTTGCATGTGTTCTCTCTCTCATGTGTTCTCTCTCTCATGTGTTCTCTCTCATGTGTTGTCTCTCTCATGTGTTCTCTCTCGCATGTGTTCTCTCTCTCATGTGTTCTCTCTCATGTGTTCTCTCTCTCATGTGTTCTCTCTCATGTGTTCTCTCTCTCATGTGTTCTCTCTCTCATGTGTTCTCTCTCATGTGTTCTCTCTCTCATGTGTTCTCTCTCTCATATGTTCTCTCTCATGTGTTCTCTCTCTCATGTGTTCTCTCTCATGTGTTCTCTCTCTCATGTGTTCTCTCTCTCATGTGTTCTCTCTCTCATGTGTTCTCTCTTTCATGTGTTCTCTCTCTCATGTGTTCTCTCTCATATGTTCTCTCTCTCATGTGTTCTCTCTCTCATATGTTCTCTCTCTCGTGTTCTCTCTCATGTGTTCTCTCTTTCATGTGTTCTCTCTCGTGTTCTCTCTCTCATGTGTTCTCTCTCTCATGTGTTCACTCTCTCATGTGTTCTCTCTCGTGTTCTCTCTCTCATGTGTTCTCTCTCTCATGTGTTCTCTCTCTCATGTGTTCTCTCTCTCATGTGTTCTCTCTCATGTTCTCTCTCTCATGTGTTCTCTCTCATGTGTTCTCTCTCATGTGTTCTCTCTCTCATGTGTTCTCTCTCTCATGTGTTCACTCTCTCATGTGTTCTCTCTCGTGTTCTCTCTCTCATGTGTTCTCTCTCTCATGTGTTCTCTCTCGTGTTCTCTCTCGTGTGTTCTCTCTCATGTGTTCTCTCTCTCATGTGTTCTCTCTCTCATGTGTTCTCTCTCTCATGTGTTCTCTCTCTCGTGTTCTCTCTCTCATGTGTTCTCTCTCATGTGTTCTCTCTCTCATGTGTTCTCTCTCTCATGTGTTCACTCTCTCATGTGTTCTCTCTCGTGTTCTCTCTCGTGTGTTCTCTCTCATGTGTTCTCTCTCTGATGTGTTCTCTCTCTCGTGTTCTCTCTCTCATGTGTTCTCTCTCTCGTGTTCTCTCTCTCATGTGTTCTCTCTCTCATGTGTTCTCTCTCTCATGTGTTCTCTCTCTCATGTGTTCTCTCTCTCATGTGTTCTCTCTCGTGTTCTCTCTCGTGTGTTCTCTCTCATGTGTTCTCTCTCTCATGTGTTCTCTCTCTCGTGTTCTCTCTCTCATGTGTTCTCTCTCGTGTTCTCTCTCTCATGTGTTCTCTCTCATGTGTTCTCTCTCTCATGTGTTCTCTCTCATGTGTTCTCTCTCTCATGTGTTCTCTCTCATGTGTTCTCTCTCATGTGTTCTCTCTCTCATGTGTTCTCTCTCTCATGTGTTCTCTCTCTCATGTGTTCTCTCTCTTGTGTTCTCTCTCGTGTTCTCTCTCTCATTGTCTGCTGTGAAAAGTGTGACTTTTGTTTTCCCCAAAAGGACCTTGAGCCAAACCATTGCATGTAAATATTTCTTTCTCCAGTGAAAACATTTGGATGAATCTGTTTGGTTTGTGTCGGCGCTGAAAGCTTAAGAGCCGTGTTTGAACACAATACAAACACGGCGCTGAGAGGTTGGCGTTCGATTCCCATTGTCCGCCTCGTACCTGCATCAGCCGCCGCCGTAAAGACCTCCTTTTGTGGCGGTGAAAGCTCGGCCCGATCCACAGATGGTCCCGGCTCAGGGTGAAGTCACCGAGACACTGGCCTCAGCTAACGAGGGAGCCAGAAGCTAGCTTAGCCGGTGCTGCCGTGAGAGCGCGGCGTGCAGCAGGGGTAGCGCTCAAGTGGCAGGATGCGCAGTGTCAGGGCGCGGGACAAAGGCAGAGGTCATTCCCTTAATCGGAAAAGAGAGCGGGAGCCCCCGCCATTAAACACTCAAACACCTGCTCTCTCTCACCGCCTTTCACCGCGGCTTCAGCTTTGTGCCGCCGCTAACGTGAGGCAGCTAACCGTATGTTCACGTCCTACTCTGCTCTTTGTCGCAGGATGCTGAGCCACAGAAGCACAGGAGGAGGAGAAGGAGAAGTCTGGAGCTGCAGATATTTGTCCCACGGAGAAAAGGAAACGATATTGAAAATGTGATTAGTTTGAAACTGTGTGAGAGGAAGTTAAAGCTGTCATTTATAAAGTGAGTAGATGGTCTTAGTGCCTCAGGAGAAGCCGACTCTGTCTGAGCGAGAAGCCTCTGTCTGAGAGAGAGGCCTCTGTCTGAGCGAGAGGCCTCTGTCTGAGAGAGAGGCCTCTGTCTGAGCGAGAAGCCTCTGTCTGAGAGAGAGGCCTCTGTCTGAGAGAGAAGCCTCTGTCTGAGCGAGAAGCCTCTGTCTGAGAGAGAGGCCTCTGTCTGAGAGAGAGGCCTCTGTCTGAGCGAGAAGCCTCTGTCTGAGCGAGAAGCCTCTGTCTGAGAGAGAGGCCTCTGTCTGAGCGAGAGGCCTCTGTCTGAGAGAGAGGCCTCTGTCTGAGAGAGAAGCCTCTGTCTGAGAGAGAGGCCTCTGTCTGAGAGAGCCGTTGAGAGAGCCTCTGTCTGAGCGAGAAGCCTCTGTCTGAGAGAGAAGCCTCTGTCTGAGAGAGAGGCCTCTGTCTGAGAGAGAGGCCTCTGTCTGAGCGAGAAGCCTCTGTCTGAGAGAGAGGCCTCTGTTATCACAAACAGTACAGAGCAAAAGTCTGGACACCCTCTCTCCTTCACTGAGTTCTTTTCATGACTATTGCTGTAGACCCGCACCAGGCTGTGTAAGGGCCGGACCTGAACCCAGTCCAGATGGTTTTGGACCTGAACCCAGTCCAGATGGTTTTGGACCTGAACCCAGTCCAGATGGTTTTGGACCTGAACCCAGTCCAGATGGTTTTGGGGCTGGACCACAGAGTGAAGGGGCCAAGTGCTAAGCATCATGGGAACTCAGACCATTTCAGGTCCTGTTGAAGCTCATCCAGAGAATGCCAAGAGTGAAGCAGTATCAGAGCAAAAGGTTCTACTTTGAAGAACCAGAATATAACACATATTTACACTTGGTTCATACTTTGTTACTACGGACATCATTCACATGAGTTCATCATAGGTTTGATGCCCTCAGCGTCAGTCTACAGTTTTATAATCATGAAAATAAAATACTCTATGAATGAGAAGGTGTCCAAACTTTTGCTCTGTACTGTTATACATATGTATATATATACATATGTATATATATATATATATATATATAACTATGCAAAGCAAGCCTCTTAGCGTGTTAGCGTGTTAGCATGTTAGCATGTCGAGAAAAGGTAGCTTTAATAGAACAATGTCTTCTGCCGAGCGTACGCTAGATCTGTAAAAGAAACAACTGTATTGTTTTTTGTTTTGTGCCGTTCTGTATCACACTAGTCAGCTGAATGTGTGTGTGTGTGTGTGTGTGTTTCTGTATGTGTGTGTGTGTTTCTGTATGTGTGTGTGTGTGTGTGTGTCTGTGTGTGTTTCTGTATGTCTGTGTGTGTGTGTGTGTGTATATACTGTATATGTGTGTTGTGATGAATCCTAAAATCAGAATGTATTTGACAAGCAGTAACTGCTGCGGTGTGTTGTTGTTTCACCATCACGGGTCTCGGGACTCGGGTCTCGGGTCTCGGGACTCGGGTCTCGGGACTCGGGTCTCGGGTCTCGGGTCTCGGGACGCGGGTCTTGGGACTCGGGACTTGGGTCTCGGGACTCGGGTCTCGGGACTCGGGTCTCGGGTCTCGAGACTCGGGTCTCGGGACTCGGGTCTCGGGACTCGGGTCTCGGGACTCGGGTCTCGGGACTCGGGTCTCGGGACTCGGGTCTCGGGACTCGGGACTCGGGTCCCAGGTCTCGGCGTCATCACTGACGACCTGTTTCATATGGAGCATGTTTCTGTTCAATGTCAATAGCTTCTTATATGTGTTTGATTGAAGGGGTGAGAGGGTGAGAGGGTGAGTGGGTGAGAGGGTGAGTGGGTGAGAGGGTGAGAGGGTGAGTGGGTGAGAGGGTGAGTGGGTGAGAGGGTGAGAGGGTGATTGGGTGAGTGGGTGAGAGGGTGATTGGGTGAGTGGGTGAGGGTGATTGGGTGGAGGGTGATTGGGTGAGTGGGTGAGAGGGTGATTGGGTGAGTGGGTGAGAGGGTGAGTGGGTGAGTGGGTGAGAGGGTGAGTTGGGTGAGGGTGAGGGTGAGTGGGTGAGAGGGTGAGAGGGTGAGAGGTGAGTGGTGGGTGAGAGGGTGTGAGGGTGAGTGGGTGAGGGTGAGGGTGAGAGGGTGAGTGGGTGAGAGTGAGTGGTGAGGGTGAGAGGGTGAGTGGGTGAGTGAGGGTGAGAGGGTGAGAGGGTGAGTGGGTGAGTGGGTGAGTGAGGTGAGTGGGTGAGAGGGTGAGTGGGTGAGAGGGTGAGAGGGTGATGGGTGAGTGGGTGAGAGGTGAGTGGGTGAGAGGGTGAGTGGGTGAGAGGGTGGGTGATGGGTGAGAGGGTGATGGTGAGTGGGTGAGAGGGTGAGTGGGTGAGAGGGTGAGAGGGTGAGAGGGTGAGTGGGTGAGAGGGTGAGAGGGTGAGTGGGTGAGAGGGTGAGTGGGTGAGAGGGTGAGTGGGTGAGAGGGTGAGTGGGTGAGTGGGTGAGAGGGTGAGTGGGTGAGTGGGTGAGTGGGTGAGAGGGTGAGTGGGTGAGAGGGTGAGAGGGTGAGAGGGTGAGTGGGTGAGAGGGTGAGAGGGTGAGTGGGTGAGAGGGTGAGAGGGTGAGAGGGTGAGAGGGTGAGTGGGTGAGAGGGTGAGTGGGTGAGAGGGTGAGTGGGTGAGAGGGTGAGTGGGTGATTGGGTGAGAGGGTGAGTGGGTGAGGGTGAGTGGGTGAGAGGGTGAGAGGGTGAGTGGGTGAGAGGGTGAGTGGGTGAGAGGGTGAGGGTGAGAGGGTGAGCCCCCTCCCCCGTGTCAGTCCCCCCTAAACCCTCAGTTTGTACATAACTAGTTTTCTTTTTTAAACTCTGCAAAAAATAAATTAAGTTTGTGACAATGAGTTTTGTTTCTGTGTGTACTCTGCCTGTCTCTGATTGGTTCTTCAGCTCTGCCTCTTTCTGATTGGTTCTTCAGCTCTGCCTCTCCCTGATTGGTTCAGCTCTGGGCAGCTGTTTTCTCTGCTTCTCGTGTGTAATGTTTGATGGAAACGGTCGCAGAGGTCAGAGGTCAAAATTCAATCCCCTTATTCTTGTATCGTCCTGAATCGCAACAGTTTCTCAGAGACTTTACAAAACTGTTGAAATCTCCAACACAGATTAGAGAATCAAACAGTTGCACATGGTATTGGACCATAGGGAAAGACCACATGGTGAAGACAGGTCCTCGACCACGACTACTTTCTACGCACCATGTTTTGGTTCTCGCTCCGACGCAGTGTTTCAAAGCCGTCTGATCCGATTGATTTGAAGTAATGTTTTTTAATGACAAAGCCAACAGCAGCAGAAGAGTGTAGAGAAAGTGTGAAAAGACTCAGTCCGAGCACCGATCCCAGCGGCACACCCAATTATACTTTAAGTATACTTTAAGTATACTTAAAGTATGAGTAAGACGACGGGTTTTGGTTCACGTCGACAAACTGAAACCGATCTGATAAATAAGACACACACACGATTCTGCTGTGAAACATGTGTGTGTGTGTGTGTCTGCTGTCAAACGTGTGTGTGTGTGTCTGCTGTCAAACATGTTTGTGTGTGTGTCTGCTGTGAAACATGTGTGTGTGTGTGTCTGCTGTGAAACATGTGTGTGTGTGTGTGTCTGCTGTGAAACATGTGTGAGTGTGTCTGCTGTGAAACATGTGTGTGTGTGTCTGCTGTGAAACATGTGTGTGTGTGTGTCTGCTGTGAAACATGTGTGTGTGTGTCTGCTGTGAAACAGTGAGGCCCTATGATGGGGCCATGAGGGACCCTTCCTGAAGGACCCAAAGACAAGGTTTTAATTCCTAAAATCCTGTTTTGTTTGTGCCAACACTGGGGTCACTTTAGATTTACTCTACACATTTACTCTTTTTTTATATATATTTTGCTTTAGACTATCCGTCCATTTTCTTCCACTTTACCCGTTTCCCAGACCTCCCTATCCACACACCCTTCTTCCAGCTCATCTGGGGGCCCCCAGGCCAGCTGGGAGACACAGTCAAATGTTGCTCTCCGTCTCCACTGCTCCTGATGAAGTCAACCTGAAGTTTAGATCTTTTTAGGTAAAGCTTCATTCATGGAGAAGCAGAAGTGCCTCTCGCTGTAAAACAGTTAAATCCGTTAAATCCGTGTCCTTTGAAGATTCGCACCATTTGAGAGATTCTTCAGAACCTGAGTTGATCTTTTCTGTGAAGAAACATAATTGTAACAATTCTAAACGTGCCCTTCAGTGTGCTGCTCTGTGATTGGCTGCAGCCTCAGGTGTGCTGCTCTGTGATTGGCTACAGCCTCAGGTGTGCTACGTTGTGATTGGCTGTGGCCTCAGGTGTGCTGCTCTGTGATTGGCTGTGGCCTCAGGTGTGTTGCTCTGTGATTGGCTGTGGCCTCAGTTGTGCTGCTCTATGATTGGCTGCGGCTTCAGGTGTGCTGCTCTGTGATTGGCTGCGGCTTCAGGTGTGCTGCTCTGTGATTGGCTGCGGCTTCAGGTGTGCTGCTCTGTGATTGGCTACAGCCTCAGTTGTGCTGCTCTGTGATTGGCTGCGGCCTCAGGTGTGCTGCTCTGTGATTGGCTGCAGCCTCAGGTGTGCTGCTCTGTGATTGGCTACAGCCTCAGTTGTGCTGTTCTGTGATTGGCTGCGGCCTCAGGTGTGCTGCTCTGTGATTGGCTGCGGCTTCAGGTGTGCTGCTCTGTGATTGGCTGCGGCCTCAGGTGTGCTGCTCTGTGATTGGCTGCGGCCTCAGGTGTGCTGCTCTGTGATTGGCTGCGGCCTCAGGTGTGCTGCTCTGTGATTGGCTGCGGCCTCAGGTGTGCTGCTCTGTGATTGGCTGCAGCCTCAGGTGTGCTGCTCTGTGATTGGCTGCGGCCTCAGGTGTGCTGCTCTGTGATTGGCTGCAGCCTCAGGTGTGCTGCTCTGTGATTGGCTACAGCCTCAGTTGTGCTGCTCTGTGATTGGCTGCGGCCTCAGGTGTGCTGCTCTGTGATTGGCTGCGGCTTCAGGTGTGCTGCTCTGTGATTGGCTGCGGCCTCAGGTGTGCTGCTCTGTGATTGGCTGCGGCCTCAGGTGTGCTGCTCTGTGATTGGCTGCGGCCTCAGGTGTGCTGCTCTGTGATTGGCTGCGGCCTCAGGTGTGCTGCTCTGTGATTGGCTGCAGCCTCAGGTGTGCTGCTCTGTGATTGGCTGCAACCTCAGGTGTGCTGCTCTGTGATTGGCTTGCCATTGTTTTGCAGAAACTGCATTAGGAACGTTAGGAATGTTTAAGCTTTGACCTGTGGGGTCCAGGGTTCAGTCCCCACAACGTGACATCGCAGGTTGTGGACCCCACCAAGATTTGAAATCAAGTGCACAGACACACACAAACACATACACACAGACTTTCATGCACACACACAGAGATACAGACACAGACACACACGCTCACACAGACACACACACACGCAGAAACACACACAGAAACACACACTCACACAGACACACACACAGGCTTTCAAGGACACACAGAGATACAGACACACACACAGACATACACACACACGCAGACACAGACACACACAGAGACACACACTCACACAGACACACACACAGGCTTTCAAGGACACACAGAGATACAGACACACACACAGACATACACACGCTCACACCGACACACACACACATACTTTAGTGTTTTGTCTGCAGACCAGTCTTCTAACATTGTTTACACAATGTCTTTAAAGAGAGTTGTGTGTTTTCTCTGCTTTAGTCAGAAACAAAGTCTCTGTTTCTGATGACAATAGAACACAGTCTGTACAAGGACACACACTCAGACACATACAGACACAAACACACACAGACACACACACATAGACACACACACTCACAGACACAAACACAGAGACACACACACACTCACAGACACACACACACACACACACACATAGAGACCCACACTCACAGACACAGATGTGTGTCTTTTGTACCATGAAAGCGACACACACTTTTGCTTTTCTAGTTTTATTGGTTCGATGCTGTTACAATAAAATATATTTAACAAAGAAAAGGTTTCTCTTTTATTTGAATCAGAAGAAAACACTGAACGTAACATTTAGTCACAGAGAAAATCAGATTCAACAAAACAACTTTATATCCACAACCAAAGGAAGAGATGTGTGTTGGAACAGTGCGGACGTCACAACATAGACATTCTGTACAGGTCCCAGGAGGAGGTGCAAGAGGAGGAGGTGCCCACGAAGGTCTGTGTCCGAGGAGATGCCCACGAAGGTCTGTGTCCGAGGAGGTGCCCACACAGGTCTGCGTCTGAGGAGGTGGAGGAGATACCCACACAAGTCTGTGTCTGAGGAGGTGGAGGAGGTGCCCACACAGGTCTGTGTCTGAGGAGGTGGAGGAGGTGCCCACACAGGTCTGTGTCCGAGGAGGTGGGGGAGGTGCCCACACAGGTCTGTGTCCAAAGAGGTGGAGGAGGTGCCCACACAGGTCTGTGTCTGAGGAGGTGGAGGAGGTGCCCACACAGGTCTGTGTCCGAGGAGGTGGGGGAGGTGCCCACACAGGTCTGTGTCCAAAGAGGTGGAGGAGGTGCCCACACAGGTCTGTGTCCAAAGAGGTGGAGGAGGTGCCCACACAGGTCTGTGTCCGAGGAGGTGGAGGAGGTGCCCACACAGGTCTGTGTCTGAGGAGGTGGAGGAGATGCCCACACAGGTCTGTGTCCGAGGAGGTGCCCACACAGGTCTGTGTCCGAGGAGGTGGAGGAGGTGCCCACACAGGTCTGTGTCCGAGGAGGTGGGGGAGGTGCCCACACAGGTCTGTGTCTGAGGAGGTGGAGGAGGTGCCCACACAGGTCCGAGGAGGTGGAGGAGGTGTCAGATATAAACTATAGTGTCTCTGTGTTCAGGACCATAACGACCGCAGCAGATTAATATAAACATTTGTTTGTTACGGTCTTTGTGGAAAAACAAAAATACAATTGAAACAGACGTGTGTGAACTCTGGAAACAGACTGAAGCAGAGACTGAAGCAGAGACTGAAGCAGAGACTGAAGCAGAGACTGAAGCAGAGACTGAAGCAGAGACTGAAGCAGAGACTGAGGCAGAGACTGAGGCAGAGACTGAGGCAGAGACTGAGGCAGAGACTGAGGCAGAGACTGAAGCAGAGACTGAAGCAGAGACTGAGCAGAGACTGAAGCAGAGACTGAAGCAGAGACTGAAGCAGAGACTGAAGCAGAGACTGAGGCAGAGACTGAGGCAGAGACTGAGGCAGAGACTGAGCAGAGACTGAGCAGAGACTGAGGCAGAGACTGAAGCAGAGACTGAAGCAGAGACTGAAGCAGAGACTGAGCAGAGACTGAAGCAGAGACTGAAGCAGAGACTGAAGCAGAGACTGAAGCAGAGACTGAAGCAGAGACTGAGCAGAGACTGAAGCAGAGACTGAAGCAGAGACTGAAGCAGAGACTGAAGCAGAGACTGAGCAGAGACTGAAGCAGAGACTGAAGCAGAGACTGAAGCAGAGACTGAGCAGAGACTGAGCAGAGACTGAGGCAGAGACTGAGCAGAGACTGAAGCAGAGACTGAAGCAGAGACTGAAGCAGAGACTGAAGCAGAGACTGAAGCAGAGACTGAGCAGAGACTGAGCAGAGACTGAAGCAGAGACTGAAGCAGAGACTGAGCGAACTGAGAGACTGAAGCAGAGACTGAAGCAGAGACTGAAGCAGAGACTGAAGCAGAGACTGAGCAGAGACTGAGCAGAGACTGAGCAGAGACTGAAGCAGAGACTGAAGCAGAGACTGAAGCAGAGACTGAAGCAGAGACTGAAGCAGAGACTGAGCAGAGACTGAGGCAGAGACTGAAGCAGAGACTGAGGCAGAGACTGAGCAGAGACTGAAGCAGAGACTGAAGCAGAGACTGCAGAGACGAGCAGAGACTGAAGCAGAGACTGAGCAGAGACTGACAGAGACTGAAGCAGAGACTGAAGCAGAGACTGAGGCAGATACTGAAGCAGAGACTGAAGCAGAGACTGAAGCAGAGACTGAAGCAGAGACTGAGGCAGAGACTGAAGCAGAGACTGAAGCAGAGACTGAAGCAGGACTGAAGCAGAGACTGAAGCAGAGACTGAAGCAGAGACTGAGGCAGAGACTGAAGCAGAGACTGAAGCAGAGACTGAGGCAGAGACTGAAGCAGAGACTGAAGCAGAGACTGAAGGAAGCAACACCTCAGAATCTGAAAGTTGAATCAAAAGAGAGAGTCTGACAAAAATCAGGAACTAAAATAAGATCTGCTTCAAATAGATATAATTTATAACAGACTCAGACGGTCTAAAACCTTTACCTTTAGCCTCAATGTTAACCCCCTTAGCTCAATGCTAACCTGCTAGCTCATTGCTAACCTGCTAGCTCAATGAAGCCAACAGGGAAGTGCTCATGGTGAAGTCTGGCTCCTCTCTCAGGCCCCTCTTGACTTCCATGTAAAAGTAAACTCTAATCTGGGGTTTCTCTGTGATGTTGTCTTCGTAAATCCAGGACCGACCAATCAGAGGAAAACTCCAGCTCGCCTTAGCAACCATCTTAGCAACCATCTTAGCAACCACCTTAGCAACCATCTTAGCAACCATTTTAGCAACCATCTTAGCAACCACCTTAGTAACCATCTTAGCAACACGTGTGCCCTGATACAGGGTGAAGCTAAAGCCACGTGAGGAATTCCCATATAAGGAAGTTGGCTCCAGCTCATTTTAAAATCGGCCTCTTCTGCATCAACGCTAACACTGTGGTGATGTCACACTGTGGTGATGTCACAATGTGGTGATGTCACACTGTGGTGATGTCACACTGTGGTGATGTCACACTGTGGTGATGTCACACTGCGGTGATGTCACAATGTGGTGATGTCACACTGTGGTGATGTCACACTGTGGTGATGTCACACTCCGTCCACTGATAGTCTATGGTTGAACGTCATGTTTTCAAAAGTGGAATCATTTCTTCAGTGAAAAACACAAGAAGAGACTTGGACAGAAGCTGAGAGGGTCCTGAGGCAGCGAGGCTGGAGCTAAAAACACCTCCAGGTCAGTGCCTCAGGAACAAGGGCCTGGTTCTCCATAAAAAGTCATTTTTCAGGCTCAGTATAAAATCCCGCTTCAGAAGTCCACACTCCGTAACCACGGAGACAGCACAAAGATGGCGGTGGTGAGGGTCCCACAGTGCACCTCCTTGCTCCTCCTCAGCTCCTCCTCCTCCTCCTCCTCCTCCTCCTTGGCTCCTCCTCCTCCTTGGCTCCTCCTCCTCCTCCTCCTTGGCTCCTCCTCCTCAGGTCCTTCTCGCACTTCCTTAGCTCCTCCTCCTCAGGTCCTCCTCGCTCTTCCTTAGCTCCTCCTCCTCAGGTCCTTCTCGCTCCTCCTCAGGTCCTCCTCCTCAGGTCCTCCTCCTCAGGTCCTCCTCTTCCTCAGGTCCTCGTTGGCTCCTCCTCAGGTGCACCTCCTCGGCTCCTCCTCAGCTCCTCCTCACACGCAGGCCCTCTTGGCGTGCAGCATCTCGATGAGGAGGTTGTTGCAGGGCACCTCCCCGCTGAGGTGCATGTAGCAGAGGAAGTCCTCGGCCTGGGTGCTGAGGAGGCGCAGCTCAGGGAGGCGCACCAGGAGCTCACTGAACTTCTCCTGGAACTGAGGGTAGGAGGCCACAGTGTACTCCAGCAGGGCCCCGTTCACCTGCTCCTGCACGCCCTCCACAAAGGCCTGGTTCTCCAGCAGCTTCACACCTGCACACAACACATGACTGTTACACACACACGCACACACACACAACACATGATTGTTACACACACACGCACACACACACAACACATGATTGTTACACACACCTGCACACAACACATGATTGTTACACACACACACACACACACCTGCACACAACACATGACTGTTACACACACACGCACACACACACAACACATGATTGTTACACACACCTGCACACAACACATGATTGTTACACACACACACACACACACCTGCACATGATTGTTACACACACACGCACACACACACAACACATGATTGTTACACACACACGCACACACACACAACACATGACTGTTACACACACACGCACACACACACAACACATGATTGTTACACACACACGCACACACACCTGCACACAACACATGACTGTTACACACACACGCACACACACACACAACACATGATTGTTACACACACACGCACACACACACAACACATGATTGTTACACACACACGCACACACACACACAACACATGATTGTTACACACACACGCACACACACACAACACATGACTGTTACACACACACGCACACACACACAACACATGATTGTTACACACACCTGCACACACACCTGCACACAACACATGATTGTTACACACACACGCACACACACACAACACATGATTGTTACACACACACGCACACACACACAACACATGATTGTTACACACACACACACACACACCTGCACACAACACATGACTGTTACACACACACGCACACACACCTGCACACAACACATGATTGTTACACACACACGCACACACACCTGCACACAACACATGATTGTTACACACACACGCACACACACACAACACATGATTGTTACACACACACGCACACACACACAACACATGATTGTTACACACACACGCACACACACACAACACATGATTGTTACACACACACGCACTTCACACCTGCACACAACACATGATTGTTACACCCACACGCACACACACACAACACATGATTGTTACACACACACACACACACACCTGCACACAACACATGACTGTTACACACACACGCACACACACACAACACATGATTGTTACACACACACGCACACACACCTGCACACAACACATGATTGTTACACACACACGCACACACACCTGCACACAACACATGATTGTTACACACACACGCACACACACACAACACATGATTGTTACACACACACGCACACACACACACAACACATGATTGTTACACACACACGCACACACACCTGCACACAACACATGATTGCTACACACACACGCACACACACACAACACATGATTGTTACACACACACGCACTTCACACCTGCACACAACACATGATTGTTACACACACACACACACACACCTGCACACAACACATGATTGCTACACACACACGCACTTCACACCTGCACACAACACATGATTGTTACACACACACGCACACACACACAACACATGATTGTTACACACACACACACTTCACACCTGCACACAACACATGATTGTTACACACACACACACACACACCTGCACACAACACATGATTGTTACACACACACGCACACACACACAACACATGATTGTTACACACACACGCACACACACACAACACATGATTGTTACACACACACGCACTTCACACCTGCACACAACACATGATTGTTACACACACACACACACACACCTGCACACAACACATGATTGCTACACACACACGCACTTCACACCTGCACACAACACATGATTGTTACACACCCACGCACACTCACACAACACATGATTGTTACACACACACGCACTTCACACCTGCACACAACACATGATTGTTACACACACACGCACTTCACACCTGCACACAACACATGATTGTTACACACACACGCACACACACACAACACATGATTGTTACACACACACGCACTTCACACCTGCACACAACACATGATTGTTACACACACACATACACACACCTGCACACAACACATGATTGTTACACACACACGCACACACACACAACACATGATTGTTACACACACACACACTTCACACCTGCACACAACACATGATTGTTACACACACACCTGCACACACACACAACACATGATTGTTACACACACACACACACACACACCTGCACACAACACATGATTGTTACACACACACCTGCACACACACACAACACATGATTGTTACACACACACACACACACACACCTGCACACAACACATGATTGTTACACACACACACACACCTGCACAACACAGACATGTTTATTTAGATCGCACACTTCACACATTTCCCCAAAAAATTATGACTTACAGATGTTTTCTTTTTTCTTTATTATACATTTAGAAAACGACAGTATTTAGGACATATGTCTTTTGTCTTTGGTCCAGAAACAAAGAGAGAGCGTCATCTGTCACCTACAGTCTCTCTCCCTAAAACCTTCAAACAAGGTCAGAAATCTAGGGGTAATACTGGACTCAGACTTACATTTTAATAGCCACATCAAATCAGTAACATCAGCAGCTTTTTACCATCTAAAAAACATTTCCAGGATCAAAAACATAGTGTCTAAAGCAGACTTGGAGATTCTTATCCATGCATTTGTCTCCAGTAGGTTAGACTACTGCAATGGCCTGCTCACAGGTCTGTCCAAACAGGCTGTAAAACAGCTGCAGTACATTCAAAATGCAGCAGCTCGAGTCCTGACAAGAACCAGGAAGTACGACCACATTAGTCCTGACTAGAACCAGGAAGTACGACCACATTAGTCCTGACTAGAACCAGGAAGTACGACCACATTAGTCCTGACTAGAACCAGGAAGTACGACCACATTAGTCCTGACTAGAACCAGGAAGTACGACCACATTAGTCCTGACTAGAACCAGGAAGTACGACCACATTAGTCCTGACTAGAACCAGGAAGTACGACCACATTAGTCCTGACTAGAACCAGGAAGTACGACCACATTAGTCCTGACTAGAACCAGGAAGTACGACCACATTAGTCCTGACTAGAACCAGGAAGTACGACCATATTAGTCCTGACTAGAACCAGGAAGTACGACCACATTAGTCCTGACTAGAACCAGGAAGTACGACCACATTAGTCCTGACTAGAACCAGGAAGTACGACCACATTAGTCCTGACTAGAACCAGGAAGTACGACCATATTAGTCCTGACTAGAACCAGGAAGTACGACCACATTAGTCCTGACCAGAACCAGGAAGTACGACCACATTAGTCCTGACTAGAACCAGGAAGTACGAACATATTAGTCCTGACTAGAACCAGGAAGTACGACCACATTAGTCCTGACTAGAACCAGGAAGTACGAACATATTAGTCCTGACTAGAACCAGGAAGTACGACCACATTAGTCCTGACTAGAACCAGGAAGTACGACCATATTAGTCCTGACTAGAACCAGGAAGTACGACCATATTAGTCCTGACTAGAACCAGGAAGTACGACCACATTAGTCCTGACCAGAACCAGGAAGTACGACCACATTAGTCCTGACTAGAACCAGGAAGTACGAACATATTAGTCCTGACTAGAACCAGGAAGTACGACCACATTAGTCCTGACTAGAACCAGGAAGTACGACCATATTAGTCCTGACTAGAACCAGGAAGTACGACCACATTAGTCCTGACTAGAACCAGGAAGTACGACCACATTAGTCCTGACCAGAACCAGGAAGTACGACCACATTAGTCCTGACTAGAACCAGGAAGTACGAACATATTAGTCCTGACTAGAACCAGGAAGTACGACCACATTAGTCCTGACTAGAACCAGGAATACGACCATATTAGTCCTGACTAGAACCAGGAAGTACGACCACATTAGTCCTGACTAGAACCAGGAAGTACGACCATATTAGTCCTGACTAGAACCAGGAAGTACGACCATATTAGTCCTGACTAGAACCAGGAAGTACGACCACATTAGTCCTGACTAGAACCAGGAAGTACGACCACATTAGTCCTGACTAGAACCAGGAAGTACGACCACATTAGTCCTGACTAGAACCAGGAAGTACGACCACATTAGTCCTGACAAGAACCAGGAAGTACGACCATATTAGTCCTGACTAGAACCAGGAAGTACGACCACATTAGTCCTGACTAGAACCAAGAAGTACGACCACATTAGTCCTGACTAGAACCAGGAAGTACGACCACATTAGTCCTGACTAGAACCAGGAAGTACGACCACATTAGTCCTGACAAGAACCAGGAAGTACGACCATATTAGTCCTGACTAGAACCAGGAAGTACGACCACATTAGTCCTGACTAGAACCAGGAAGTACGACCACATTAGTCCAGTTCTCAGGTCTCTGCACTGGCTTCCTGTGGCTCAGAGAATAGACTTTAAAACAGCTCTGCTTGTTACAAGTCTCTCCATGGCCTCGCACCAAAATATATTAGTGACATGTTAGTCCCATATGAACCAGCCCGGACTCTGAGGAGCACAGGGACTGGACTCCTGCTGGGACTCTGAGGAGCACAGGGACTGGACTCCTGCTGGGACTCTGAGGAGCACAGGGACTGGACTCCTGCTGGGACTCTGAGGAGCACAGGGACTGGACTCCTGCTGGGACTCTGAGGAGCACAGGGACTGGCCTCCTGCTGGGACTCTGAGGAGCACAGGGACTGGACTCCTGCTGGGACTCTGAGGAGCACAGGGACTGGACTCCTGCTGGGACTCTGAGGAGCACAGGGACTGGCCTCCTGCTGGGACTCTGAGGAGCACAGGGACTGGACTCCTGCTGTGGACTCTGAGGAGCACAGGGACTGGACTCCTGCTGTGGACTCTGAGGAGCACAGGGACTGGACTCCTGCTGGGACTCTGAGGAGCACAGGGACTGGACTCCTGCTGGGACTCTGAGGAGCACAGGGACTGGCCTCCTGCTGGGACTCTGAGGAGCACAGGGACTGGACTCCTGCTGGGACTCTGAGGAGCACAGGGACTGGCCTCCTGCTGGGACTCTGAGGAGCACAGGGACTGGACTCCTGCTGGGACTCTGAGGAGCACAGGGACTGGCCTCCTGCTGGGACTCTGAGGAGCACAGGGACTGGACTCCTGCTGGGACTCTGAGGAGCACAGGGACTGGACTCCTGCTGGGACTCTGAGGAGCACAGGGACTGGACTCCTGCTGGGACTCTGAGGAGCACAGGGACTGGACTCCTGCTGGGACTCTGAGGAGCACAGGGACTGGCCTCCTGCTGGGACTCTGAGGAGCACAGGGACTGGACTCCTGCTGGGACTCTGAGGAGCACAGGGACTGGACTCCTGCTGGGACTCTGAGGAGCACAGGGACTGGCCTCCTGCTGGGACTCTGAGGAGCACAGGGACTGGACTCCTGCTGGGACTCTGAGGAGCACAGGGACTGGACTCCTGCTGGGACTCTGAGGAGCACAGGGACTGGCCTCCTGCTGGGACTCTGAGGAGCACAGGGACTGGACTCCTGCTGGGACTCTGAGGAGCACAGGGACTGGCCTCCTGCTGGGACTCTGAGGAGCACAGGGACTGGCCTCCTGCTGGGACTCTGAGGAGCACAGGGACTGGACTCCTGCTGGGACTCTGAGGAGCACAGGGACTGGACTCCTGCTGGGGCTCTGAGGAGCACAGGGACTGGCCTCCTGCTGGGACTCTGAGGAGCACAGGGACTGGACTCCTGCTGGGACTCTGAGGAGCACAGGGACTGGCCTCCTGCTGGGACTCTGAGGAGCACAGGGACTGGACTCCTGTTAGTGTCCAGAGTCAGAACTAAACATGGGGAGGCTGCTTTTCAGATTCATGCTGCTAAAATCTGGAACAGTCTTCCTGAGGATGTGAGACAGGCCTCCTCTCTGACAATGTTTAAAACCAGGTTAAAGACGGTTCTGTTTAGCTGTGCTACAACTGAGGGATTTTATATTTTTATCTTTCGTTTTAATGTAATTTATTTATGATTTTAATGCTTTCTTGTTCAGCACTTTGAGTTGCCTTGTGTATGAATTGTGCTATATAAATAAACTTGCCTTGCCTTGCCATATAGTACTGTACAGAGTATAGAGTACTCTGTATATACAGAGTATAGAGTACTCTGTATATACAGAGTATAGAGTACTCTGTATATACAGAGTATAGAGTACTCTGTATATACAATAGATATAGTACTGTACAGAGAATAGAGTACTCTATACTCTGTATATACAGTAGATATAGGACTATAGAGTACTCTGTACTCTCACCTGGTGCCTACGCTCTGATGGTATCATGGAAAGTATCTGCAGCTCAGTCGCAGTCATTCAGTAAATAACTGTTTTTGAATCGTCGTTTTAGCCGCGAGGGCAATGAAGTTACCCCCGCACCTCCCCCCTCCTCCTCCTCCTCCCCCCTCCTCCCTCCTCCTCCTCCCTCCCCCCTCCTCCTCCTCCTCCTCCCCCTCCTCCTCCTCCCTCCACAAGTGCTGTGTGCTTTCAGAAGCGTTTTGTCCCCGGCCTCGTGCCTCCATCTGCACGCGCTCGCATGTCACGCCGCCGCAGCCGCACCGACCTCCATTACGCCGCTTCAGAATGCCATTAGAGGACAAAGGACGAGGAGGTCTTTGTCGATGGCGGCTTTTGTCCACTCCAGAAATTTAATTAAGTGGATTTTATTGGAGAAGAAGAAAGAGCTGCAGGAAAACACTCGTAACCTACGGATACGGAGGACCAGGAAGAAGTCTGCAGCTATTCAGAGAGGACTCAACACGGACTCAGCACGGACTCAACACGGACTCAGCACGGACTCAGCACGGACTCAACACGGACTCAACACGGACTCAACACGGACTCAACACGGACTCAGCACGGACTCAACACGGACTCAACACGGACTCAACACGGACTCAACACAGACTCAGCACGGACTCAACACGGACTCAACACGGACTCAACACGGACTCAACACGGACTCAACACGGACTCAACACGGACTCAACACGGACTCAGCACGGACTCAACACGGACTCAACACGGACTCAACACGGACTCAAACTACGGATTCAACATGGACTCAACATGGACTAAACACGGACTCAACACGGACTCAACACGGACTAAACACGGACTAAACATGGAACTCAACACGGACTCAGCACGGACTCACACGGACTCAACACGGACTCAACACGGACTCATCACAGCAGCGGACTCAACACGGACTCACACGGACTCAGCACGGACTCAACACGGACTCAACACGGACTCAAACACGGACTCAACACGACTCAGCACGGACTCAGCACGTACTCAACACGGACTCGGAACACGGACTCAGCACGGACTCACACGGACTCAGCACGGAACTCAGCACGGACTCAAACACGGACTCACCGGCACGGACTCAGCACGGACTCAACACGGACTCAGCACGGACTCAGCACGGACTCAACACGGACTCACGACTCACACGGACTCACACGGACTCAGCACGGACTCAGCACGGACTCAACACGGACTCAACACGAACTCAGCACGGACTCAGCACGGACTCAGCACGGACTCAACACGGACTCAGCACGGACTCTCAGCACGGACCTCAGCACGGACTCAGCACGGACTCAGCAACGGATCAACACGGACTCAGCTCGGACACAACACGGACTCAGCACGGACTCAGCACGGACTCACACGGACTCAGCACGGACTCAGCACGGACTCAAACACGGACTCAGCACCGGACTCAGCACGGACTCAGCACGACTCAGCACGGACTCAGCACGGGACTCAACACGGACTCAGCACGGACTCAGCACGGACTCAAGCACGGACTCAGCACGGACTCTCAAGCACGGACTCAGCACGGGACTCAACAACGGGACTCAGCACGGACTCAGCACGGACTCATCACGGACTCAGCACGGACTCAACACGGACTCAGCACGGAATACCTCAACACGGACCTGGACTCAGCACGGACTCAACACGGACTCAGCACGGACTCAGCACGGACTCAGCACGGACTCAGCACGGACTCAACACGGACTCAGCACGGACTCAACACGGACTCAGTCCTCGTTCTACAGTCTGAGTCCTGAGTTTTAGAGTAATTCCTCTGATGCAGGAGTCTGTTAGTGTCGAAGACCAATACCATGTGGTCTTTCTATGGTCCAATACCATGTGAGGAGGAGGAGGTGGTGGTGGAGGAGGAGGTGGTGGAGGAGGAGGTGTAGGAGGAGGAGGTGCACTCACTGGGGTTGAAGAGGAGCATGAACTTGAGGCAGGCCACCTCCCTGCGGTCGACCTGCAGAGCTCTGAGTCTGGAGGACAGCTCCTGTCCTCGCTGCACCAGACCTGCCAGAGTGGACTCCGCCTGGAGCAGGAGGGAGGACAGCTCCACCTGAGGGGGAGAGAGGGGGAGAGAGGGGGGGGGGAGAGAGGGGGGGGAGAGGGGGGAGAGAGGGGGGGAGAGAGGGGGAGAGAGGGGGAGAGAGGGGGAGGGGGGCGAGGTGGGGAGAGGAGGGGGAGAGAGAGAGGGGGGGGTGGAGAGAGTGAGGGAGAGAGAGGAGGGGGGAGAGAGGGGGAGAGAGGGGAGAGAGAGGGGAGGAGGGGGAGGAGCGGGGGGGGGGGAGAGGGGGGGGAGGAGAGAGGGAGAGAGGGGGGGGAGAGGGGGAGGAGAGAGGGGGAGAGGGGGAGAGGGGGGGGGGGAGGAGGGGGGGGAGAGAGGGAGAGAGGGGGAAGACGAGAGGGGGGAGAGGGGGGAGAGAGGGAAGAGAGAGGGGGAGAAGGGGGGGGGAGAGGGGGAGGGGTGAGAGGGGGGGGGAGAGAGGGGGAAGAGAGAGGGGGAGAGGGGGACGAGAGAGGGGGAGGAGGGGGGAGAGGAGGTGAGAGAGGGGGGAGAGGGGGGGGGAGAGGGGGAGAGAGGGGAGGGAAAGGAGGGGAGGAGAGCGGGGGAGAGGGGGGGAGAGAGAGGGAGGGAGAGGGGGGAGGAGGGGGGGAGGAGAGGGGGAGAGGTGGGGGAGGGGAGAGAGGGGGAGTGGGAGAGAGGGGAGAGAGCGGAGGGGGATTGAGAGGGGAGAGAGAGGGGTAGAGAGGGGGAGAGAGGGGGGAGAGAGGTGGGAGAGAGGGGGGGAGAGAGGAGGAATAGGGGGGAGGAGGGGGAGACGGGAGGGGAGGAGAGGAGGGGGGAGAGGAGGGGAGAAGGGAGGAGAGGGGGGAGAGAGAGAGGGGGAGAGAGGGAGGAGAGGAGGGAGACGGGCCGGAGAGTGGGGGGATGTCGAGAGTAGGGAGGGAGAGGGGGAGGGAGAGGGGAGAGAGAGGGGGAGAGATGAGAGGGGGGATAGAGGGGGGAGTTGGGATGGGCGAGAGGGGAGGGGGAGAAGGAGAGGGGGGAGAGAGGGAGGGAGGGAGAGAGAGGGGGGAGAGAGGGAGAGGGAGGGGGAGTGAGGGGGGAGGAGGGGAGAGAGAGGGAGAGGGAGGGAGGAGGGGGAAGAGATGAGGGGGAGGAGAGAGGGGGAGAGGGGGGGGTGTGAGAGAGAGGGGACCGAGAGAGGGGGAGGAGGAGAGGGGGAGAGAGGGGGAGGAGAGGGGTTGAGGTGGGGGGAGAGGGAGGGACGAGAGGGGAGAGAGGGGGAGAGACGGAGGGGGAGGAGGAGGGGGAGAGAGAGGGAGGGGGGAGGAGGGAGAGAGAGGGGGAGAGGGGGGATCGGGAGGGGGGAGAGAGGGGGAGAGTGTGAGGGGAGAGGGAGCGAGGGGAAGGGGTGAGAGGAGGGGGGAGAGGAGAGGGACATGAGAGGACAAGGGGGAGGGGGAAAGAGAGAGGGGGGGGAGAGGGGAGGGGAGGGGACAGAGGACGGGGAGGGGCGAGGGAGAGGGGGGAGGGAGGGGGAGGGAGGGAGACGAGGGGAGGAGAGGGGGAGGAGAGGGGAGGAGGGGAGGGGAGGAGGGGGGGAGAGTGGGGGAAGGACGAGAGGGGGAGAGAGGGGGACGGCGAGAGGGAGGGATGCGTGGGGGAGAGGGGGGAGGAGAGAGAGGGGAGAGAGAGGGTGGAGAGGGGGGGGAGGAGGGGGTGAGAGAGGGGGAGTGAGAGCCCGGGGGAGAGGGGGAGGGAGGGAGAGGGAGGGGCGAGAGAGAGGGGGGTCTGTTCTTGAGGAGGGGGAGGGAGGGGGGAGGATCGAGGGGGAGACGGGAGAGAGGGGGGAGCGAAGAGAGGGGGAGAGGGGGGGGAGGAGAGGGGCGGAGGAGAGGGGGAGAGAGAGGGGGGAGAGGAGGGGGAGAGTGAGGAGGGGGAGGAGTGAGAGGGAGGAGGAGTAGGATGGGAGGAGAGGGGACAGGGGGGAGAGGAGGGGGAGGAGAGGGGGAGGGAGGGGGAGAGAGAGGGAGAGAGAGAGGGGGAGGGGGGAAGGAGGGGCAGGAGAGGGGGGAAGAGAGGGGGGAGAGGGGGTGGGGAGAGAGGGGAGAGAGGGGACGAGGGGGGGGAGGAGAGAGGGGGAGAGAGAGGGGAAGAGAGGGGGATGGAGGGGGGGGAGGGGTGAGAGGAGAGGGGGAGAGAGGGGGAGAGAGGGGGGAGAGGGGGAGGAGAGGGGGGGAGGAGAGGGGGGGAGAGGGGGAGGACGGAGTGGAGGGGGGAGAGGGGGGGATGAGGGGGGAGAGGGGGGAGGGGGAGAGGGGAGGAGGGGGGGAGGGGGAGAGAGAGGGGGAGGGGGGAGCGGAGGGGGGGAGAGGGAGGATGAGAGGGGAGAGGGGGGGAGAGAGGGGGAGAGAGAGGGGGAGAGGTGGGGGACGTGAGGAGGGGGGGACGAGGGAGGGGAGAGAGGGGGAGATGAGTGATGAGAGAGGGGGACGAGGGAGAGGGGAGAGAGTGGGTGAGTGGCGGAGAGGAGGGAGAGGGGGGGAGAGGGGGGAGAGAGGGGGAGAGAGGGGGGGGGGAGAGGAGGGGGAGAGGGGGGGGAGAGAGGTAGGGGGAGAGACGAGGGGGGGGATGAGATGGGGGAGGAGAGGGGGAGTGGGAGAGAGGGTGGGAGAGAGGGGGAGAGGGGGGGGGAGAGTGGGGGGGAGAGGGGGGGAGAGGGGGGGGAGAGAGGGGGGGAGGGGGGGGAGGAGGGGGGGGAGAGAGGGGGGAGGAGGGAGGAGAGGGGGGAGAGGGGGAGGAGAGAGGGGGGAGAGGGGAGGAGAGGGGGGAGGAGGGGGAGAGAGAGGGGGAGGAGAGGGAGAGAGAGGGGGAGAGGGGGTAGAGAGGGGACGAGAGAGGGGGAGAGGGGGGAAAGAGGGGGGGGGGGGGACGAGGGGGAGAGGGGGGGAGAGGGGGAGGAGAGAGGGGGAGGGGGGAGAGGGCGTGGGGGGAGGGGGGGGGAGAGGGGGAGAGAGAGGGGGGAGGGGGGGGGGGGAGGGGGGGGGGGGGAGGAGGGGGGAGGGGTGGGGGGGAGAGGGGGGGGGGGGGGGGGGAGGGGGAGAGGGGGGGGGGGGGGAGAGAGGGGGAGGGGGGGAGTGAGAGGGGGAGAGGGAGTTAAAAAACAGTGTGAAGTTCTTAATAACGAGTCAGATCTTATTTCAGAATAAGATCTGATCGTGTAATGATAAGATCATGTAAAGCCTATGGCGTTCCCTGGGGACAGAAAGCTCCTAAAAGGATAGTGTCATATATTTACAATAAATTATGGAATCAAAATATGGTGCCCTCAATGGGAATGAAGGCCTGGGAACAGGACGTTTCAAATCACACTTGTATTCCTGACTGGGAGAGAATTTGGCATAATATTGGGAAAGCCTCAAAGAATTCTAATCACTGCTAAATGCATTTGAAATATATCCATCGGGCATCCCTAACCCGTTATGAGGCATAGAATGGGGGCGGCACCTGATCCGTATTGCTCCTTTTGTCCCCCAGGGACCATAGGCTCCTTCATGCACGTTGTATGGGTATGTCCAGCCATTCAGGAGCTCTGGGGTAAAGTAGTGAGCTGCATCAGTTCACTAACGAAGGTTGCCCTGTCAATGGAACCCGCTATACATCTTTTGAACGATAACTCAAGTATAAGGCTCAGGGGAAGACAGTCTAAACTCTGGCCTCACAGCGGCAAAGGTGGAAGAGAAACAATGTTTCATTCACTCACTGGCTTCATTGTTATTTGGACATTGCTTTTATGGAACTTTCTTCGGCGAGGATCAACAACATGTCATCTGATGACTTGTGGTCACAACTAATTGAAAAAAGTAAAGTACTCTTTTGACGCTTTGTAATGTAATAGCATCACTGTACGTGGAATACTCGGCTGGTGGCAAGGGGGGGACAGTCAGGGGAGGGGAGGGGAGGGGGATGGGAGGGAGGGGATGTAAGGGGAGGGTAGGGGGATGTAAGGGGAGGGGAGGGGATGTAAGGGGAGGGGAGGGGAGGGGGATGGGAGGGAGGGGATGTAAGGGGAGGGGAGGGGGATGTTAGGGTGAGGGGAGGGGGATGGGAGGGAGGGGAGGGGGATGTAAAGGGGAGGGGAGGGATCGGGGGTGATGGGAGGGAGGGGGGGATGGGGAGGTGGGTTTTAAAAAAGAAAAAGGGAGAGCCTCTCAGGTTTTTTTTTGTACATTCTGTAATTTGTTTGACCTACCTTGTGTTCTTAATAAAAATGTATGACATTTATCACATGTATGACATTTATCACATGTATGACATTTATCAACATGTGTGACATTTATCAACATGTGTGACATTTATCACATGTATGACATTTATCACATGTGTGACATTTATCACATGTATGACATTTATCACATGTATGACATTTATCACATGTGTGACATTTATCACATGTATGACATTTATCACATGTATGACATTTATCACATGTGTGACATTTATCACATGTGTGACATTTATCACATGTGTGACATTTATCACATGTATGACATTTATCACATGTATGACATTTATCAACATGTGTGACATTTATCACATGTATGACATTTATCACATGTATGACATTTATCACATGTATGACATTTATCACATGTGTGACATTTATCACATGTATGACATTTATCACATGTGTGACATTTATCACATGTATGACATTTATCACATGTGTGACATTTATCACATGTATGACATTTATCACATGTGTGACATTTATCACATGTGTGACATTTATCACATGTATGACATTTATCACATGTATGACATTTATCACATGTATGACATTTATCACATGTGTGACATTTATCACATGTGTGACATTTATCACATGTGTGACATTTATCACATGTATGACATTTATCACATGTGTGACATTTATCACATGTATGACATTTATCACATGTATGACATTTATCACATGTGTGACATTTATCACATGTGTGACATTTATCACATGTGTGACATTTATCAACATGTGTGACATTTATCACATGTATGACATTTATCACATGTGTGACATTTATCACATGTGTGACATTTATCACATGTGTGACATTTATCACATGTGTGACATTTATCACATGTGTGACATTTATCACATGTGTGACATTTATCACATGTGTGACATTTATCACATGTATGACATTTATCACATGTGTGACATTTATCACATGTATGACATTTATCACATGTGTGACATTTATCACATGTGTGACATTTATCACATGTATGACATTTATCAACATGTGTGACATTTATCACATGTGTGACATTTATCAACATGTATGACATTTATCACATGTATGACATTTATCACATGTGTGACATTTATCACATGTGTGACATTTATCACATGTGTGACATTTATCACATGTATGACATTTATCACATGTATGACATTTATCACATGTGTGACATTTATCACATGTGTGACATTTATCACATGTATGACATTTATCACATGTATGACATTTATCACATGTGTGACATTTATCACATGTGTGACATTTATCACATGTATGACATTTATCACATGTGTGACATTTATCACATGTATGACATTTATCACATGTGTGACATTTATCACATGTGTGACATTTATCACATGTATGACATTTATCACATGTGTGACATTTATCACATGTGTGACATTTATCACATGTGTGACATTTATCACATGTGTGACATTTATCACATGTATGACATTTATCAACATGTGTGACATTTATCACATGTATGACATTTATCACATGTATGACATTTATCACATGTATGACATTTATCACATGTGTGACATTTATCACATGTATGACATTTATCAACATGTGTGACATTTATCACATGTATGACATTTATCACATGTATGACATTTATCAACATGTGTGACATTTATCAACATGTATGACATTTATCACATGTATGACATTTATCAACGTGTGTGACATTTATCACATGTATGACATTTTATCAACATGTGTGACATTTATCAACATGTGTGACATTTATCAACATGTATTACATTTATCAACATGTGTGACATTTATCAACATGTGTGACATTTATCACATGTATAATATATACATGTGTATTATAAACTGGTATTATACTGACATATAATGTCAGTATAATACCCAGTAACACTGTGAGGAATCTTGGAGTCATTTTTGACCAAGAACGCTCCTTCAAGGCTTATATAAGCCAAGCAACTAAAACGGGCGTACTTCCACTTACGGAACATCGCTAAAATTAGGAATTTCGCTTCCTAAAAGTGACGCGGAAAAACTCATTCACGCGTTTGTCACCTCAAGGCTAGACTACTGTAACGCTTTACTGGCAGCCGTGCCCTAGAAGGCCTCTTTGAAGAGCTTCCAGCTCGTTCAGAATACAGCAGCTAGGATCTTAACAGGTAACCAAAAGGAGGGAGCACATAACTCCGGTGTTAAAATCACTCCACTGGCTCCTGTGGAGGTACAGAATAAAGTTTTAAAATCCTACTCTTAACATATAAAGCCATAAATGGCTTGGCTTCCTTCTTATCTCCAAGAGACACGTTAGTGTCGTATCAACCATGTCGAGCGTTGCGCTCACAAAACGCCAGACGTCTGGTGGCTCCCTAAGGTCTCAAAGGTCACTGTTGGTGGCAGAGCATTTAGCTACCAAGCTTCCGTTTACTGTGGAATCAGCTTCCCATTTATGTTAAGGAAGCAGATACGGTCTCCACAAGTTCAAGGCCAGGCTTAAAGCACTTTACTTTAATTTAGCATATAATTAGGTAATATATAATTTTATGTAGTGTATATATTATATATATATGCTGTATTATGTTATAATATTATGTTATATATTATTCAATAATGTATTGAGTTATGTTGTATATTATGTTATATATTATGCTGTATGTTATTCTTTATTTCAAGGCTAGGTTTAAGAACAGTCCTCTTTAGTTTAGGCATATGGCTAGGAAGGTAAAGACTCTGGGAGAAGGTTAAACTCCTCAGAGTGTTCAGTCAAGCTGCATAGGGAGCCCCCTGCTGGGAGAAGTATGGTAACTTTGAGCACTATCCTCTCCTCCTTCCTACTTTATCTGTTTAGCATTTTTAGGATTCTGACTGTAGTTTGTTCATTGCTATTCACCCGTTGTCCCATTGTCTGTTTCATGGGTACGATGACTGGGGATCTCTGAGCATGTCCTCTTCATCTACACCTTGCGGACTGGCCCGCCCCGACCCGCCTGGGAGAGCTTCAGTCCTGCAACGGACCTGTCCACGTTAAGCGTCCACTGGTCCACGTTCTGTAGCTAGCTTAGGTCCTAGATAATTAGTCTGTCCGTCCGGAGGAGCGGATCCCTTTCTCATATGGGTCTCACCTAACTGTGGGTTTCCCTTGTTCTCCTCCAAGGTTTCACAATAATTCCCACTGGGTTTTTTTAAGAGTTTTTCCTTGTCGATGCAGGAGGGTCTTGTTGGACAGTTAGTGTCCAACAGAAAGGATTGGTGATGATCAGGACACTTTAGCATTCTACAACATGTATGGACATTTTCTTCTGTGTGTGCTTTATATTCTTCATGTGTTTTAACTGTTGATTCTCTGACCTGTGTTGGTGATTTCAATGGTTTTGTTAAGTCCTCTGAGATGACTTCTGTTGTGACCTAGGGCTATACAAGAATAAATTGTATTGTATTGTATTGTAAGCCCCTCTAATCCGACATTCTAATCACACAGTGTGGACATGTTATCACATCGCTATGACATTTATCAACAAGTGTGCACTTTATCAACATGTGTGACATTTATAACAACACTGTGTTCGCTCCTTATATTTAAACAATGTACTGACATTTTATCACCTGAATAGACATATTATCACATGTCATGCGCTCATTTATCGTAAACATGTATGAACATTAATCACATGAGTGGACCTTTATCACTCTCATTGTATGACATTATAACACATGTGAGAAGACATTTATCAACATGTGGTGACAATTTATCACAAGGAATGACATTTTATCACATGAATGACATTTATCATACGTGTGTGACATTTATCACCATGTGTGACATTTATCAACATGTGTGACATTTATCACATGTAGTGAACATTAATCACATGTGTATGACATTTATCTAAAGAGTGACAAATAAATCATCGTTAATATAAAAATTTTTAAAATCTTTATTAATTTTCAGGTGGGGTAGTTGTTTGTTTGTTAATGGTTGGGGTTAAATTGGTTTTGGGTTGGTTTTGGGAATGTTGGTGTGGGGTGGGTGTGGTGTGGATTTTGATGGGGGGGGGTGTGGGGAAGGGGGGAAGGGAAAGGGAGGGATGTAGGGGGGGGGGGGGATTGGGAGTTAGTGTGGGTGGGTAAGGAAGGGAATAGGATATAGGGGGGGGTTGATGATATGGAAGATTTGGGTATAGGTGGAAAGGATTGGAAGGAGTATTGAGATAGGAATAAGAATTGTTTGGGAATAATGGGTAAAATATATAGGTGGTGGGGGGGGTGGGGTTATGAGGTGTGGGTTGGGAGGGATGGGTAGAGGGAGTATGAGGATGTTAGGGTGGTGGGGGGGTTGGGGAATTTGGAATTTGGGATAGTTGTGTTGGGGGGTGGTGGTTTTGATTTAGGGGTTTTGGGTGGGGGGTGTTGTTTTTTGGTGGGGTGGGTTGATTGTGTTTTGGGGGGGGGGGGGGGGGTTTGGGTAGTGGATGTTGGGGGGGGTGTTGATTGTGTTTTGGTTAAGTGTGGTTTGGGTGGGGGAAGGGTGTGTGTATTGTGGGGAGATGGTGGTGTGGTTTGGTGTGTAATTTGTGTAATTGTGTGGGGTATGTGGGTGGTGTAAGATGGGTTTGGGGGGGGTTTAATTTGTTAGGGGGGATTTGTGTGGGGGTTTGGTTAAGTGGGTGTGGGGGATAGTGTGTTTATGATTGTGGGTGGGGGGGTATGGGGGAAGGGTAGGGGGTTGTAATGTGGTGGTTGTGGGGGGGTTTGGGGGGTTGGTGGGGGTGTATTTGGGGGTATTGAGGGTTGGGTGGGGTAGGGATAGGGATGGGTAGGGGGGGTGGAGGGTGTTGATGATTTATGGGGATATAGGGGTGGTGGGTGAAGAGTTTGGGGGGGGGGGGGGGGGGGGATAGGGGGGATAATGTAGGGGGGGGTAGGGGGGTGGTAGGATGGGGGGGGGGTAGTTTTGTTTGGGGGGGTGATTTGGGGTGGGATTAGGTTGGGGGGGATGTTTTTTTGGGAAGGGTTATATAGGGGGGGTATTGGGGGGGGGGAATTATGGGGGTGTAGGGGATTGGATGAGTTTATTAGGGGTGGTTAGGGGATGTGTTGAGGGTGGGGGGGGGGTTGGGGGGGTGGGGGGAGTGGGTGGTTGGGTGGAGTAGGGTGGTATTGATGGGGGGGGGGGGGGGGGGGGGTGTATGTGTTGGGTGGGGGGGGATGGGTGTGTAGGTGGGGTGTGGGTTGAGTGTGGGTGGATATTTGGGGGGGGGGTGTGGGGGGGGTGGGGGGGGGGGGGGGGGATGTGGTTGGGGGGGTGGGAGGGGGTGTATATGGGGGGGGGTGTGGGGGGTTGTAGGGTGTTTTTGAGTATTGGGGGGGGGGTGTTGGGGGGGATTGGGGGGGGTGGGGGGTGTGTGGTTTGAGGGGAGTGGGGTAGGGGGGGTTGATGGTGTATGGTGGGGGGTGGTTGTGGTGGGTAAAGTTTAAGTGTGGGGGTGTGGGGTAATGGGGTGTGGGGAGGGGGGGATGGAGGGGGGGTGTGTAGTTGGGGTTGTGAGGTATGGGAAATGGGATAGTGGGTATATGGGGGTAGTGAGGAGGGAAGGGTTGGGGTGGTGGTTTTGGGGGTAGGAATTGGGGTTGTTTGGATTGGGTGTATGTGTTGGAGGGTTGTGGTATGGGGTATTAGTATAGTTGTTGTTGGAGTTAGTGGGGGGGGGTGGGTTGGGGGGGGGGAGGGGTTGAGGTAATGGTGGAGTAAGTTGTTAGTGTGGGGGGTGATGGTTTTTGTAGGGGGGGTTGAAGGAAGGATAGGTGTAGGGAGGGAGGAAGGATAGGGGGTTGGTATGGAGGGGGGATGGGGGGGGAGAGGGGGGGAAAGAGAGATGGGACAGAGAGAGGGAAAAGAGAAAAAGAGGAAAGAGAGAAGAGAGAGGGGGATAAGAGAGAGGAAAAGAAAGGGGAATGAGAGAGAGAGAGGAGAGAAGAGAGTGGAGGAAAGGAGAGGGAGGGAGAGATGAGAGGGGAAAGTGAGGGGAAGAGGGGAGAGAGAGGGAGAGGGATGGGAGAGGTGGAGATACGGTGTAGGGGAAGTAAGTTTATGTGGGTGGTGTGGTTGGGTAGGGGGGTTGTTGGTTGGTGTTGGGGTAGGGGGGGGGGGGGGAGGAAGGTGGGGGGGGGTTTGAGGTGGATGGGTAGAATATGAGGTTGTAAGGGGTGAGTTTTTGGAAGGGGGGTATAGGGGGTTGTTGATTGGATTGTTGGTATGTGAGTTTGAAAGTATATGAGATGAGATAAATGGATTAAGAAGAATAGTTAGGGGGATGGTTGGGAAGGTGGGGAAGAATAAGAGAGAGGGGGGGGGGGGGATATGGGATTAAATATGGGGGGGTGTGGGTTGAGGGTTTAGAGTTTAGAGAGAGTAGATGAGGTGGGGGGAGGAATTGGGGATGGATGTGGTGTATATTGGGTTTATAGATTATGTTAGAGGGGTTTTTATTGTTGTGGTGGGTGGGGTGGGGTGGGAAATAGAGGGTTTGGGGGGGGATTGGGGGGGGGGGTGATAGATGTGAGGGGTGGTGGTGGGGGTATGTTGTGTTGGGTTATTGATTGTGGGATGTTTGGGTTTGTTTTTGAGGGTTGAGGTGGGGATGTTGTTAGGGGGTGGAATGGGGTGGAAGTTGTATTTGTTGGTTGGTTATGTGGGTAAGGGGGGGTTTTGTTTGGGGATGTAGTTGTTGTTTTTTGTGTGGAATTGTTTTAATTGGTGTGTGGGTGTTGTAATTTGTGTTAGTTGTGTTTGTGTAAGTGTTGGGGATGGTGTGTGGTGTATTTTGGGTTGGTGGTTTGTGTGGTAGTTTGTGTTAGGGTGTTGATATATTGTGGAATGTGTGTTTTGGGTAGTGGGTGTGGTTTATGGTGTGTTGTTGTTGATAGTGGGGGGGTGGGTATTGGGTGGTGTATATGGGTGGTGTGGTGTGGGGATTGTGTTGTGGGTTTGTGGGTATTTGGGGGGTTGTGGTTGGTATGTGGGGGGTGTTTGGTTGGAATTGGTTTATTTGGGTGTGTTAGTGGTGGGGGTGGTTGGGTTATGGTGTGGTTTAATTTTGGGTGTGTGATTGGGTGGTGGGTGTAATGTGGTTTAGGTTTTGGTTTTGATGGGGGGGGGATTGGTTGGTGTTGAGAGTGTGGGAGGGGGGGGGTGTTTGGTGTAGTTGTGTGAGTGGGGGGAGGGGGGGGGTATGTGGGTTTGGATAGTGAGGGGGTGGGAAGGGGGGTGGGGGTAGGAGATTTGTGGGAGGTGATGGTTGATTTTATGATAGAGGTTTGTGGTTGTTGGGGGGGTTTTTGTGTTGTTTTAATATAGGGGTTGATATTAAGTAATTGTTAGAGGGGGGTAAAGGATGATTGAGTAGGGGTGTTGGAGGGGGGGGGGGTAGTGGAAGGTTGGTGGGGGGGTGTTTTTGGGGGGGGGGGATAGTGAGTGTGGAGGTGTAAGAAGAGGGAGGAATGGGATGGTGGGGGGGTGTAATTTTGGGGGGTAGGGGGGGTTTTAGGGGGGTGGGTGTGTGTTCGTTTTGTGTTGTGAGAGAGTATTATTATTTGTTAGGGGTGTGGTTTTGTGTGGTGTGGGGAGAGAGAGGGGATATAGGGGGTGGGGTGTTTGTGTGGGGGGGTTAATGTTGGGGGGGTGGATGATATGGAAGGTTGGGGGGTTTTGGGGGGGGGAGGTGGAGTAAGTTGGGGGGTTGTATGTGGGTAGGGAGGGTAGTGTGGTAAAGGGAGAAAGATGAATATTGAAGGGGAGGAGGTGAGGGTTGGGGGGGATTTAGAGATAGGGTGGGGGGGGATAGGGGGTTTGGAAATATTGAGGGGGGGGGATGTAGGGGGGAATATTTGGTGGGGGGGAGTGGGTAGGGGGGGGGTGGATAAGGGTGTGTGTTTGAGGATGGGATATGGAGTTGTTAGTATTTAGGTTGTGGGATTGGTGGGGTTTGTGGGTATGGGGCTGGGGTGTATGTGAGGGGTGTGGGGGGGTGGTTGGTGGGGTGGGGGGTGGTGATTTATGGGGGGGGTGGGGAGGGTGATGGTGAGTGTGTAGAGAGATGAAGGGGAGAGAGAAGAGAGTAGGGGGATGTGTGAGAGATGTGGATGAGATGGGGGGGGAGATGAGTGTGGGGGGATGTGATGGAGGATGGAGAGAGGTGGGAGAGTGATGAGAGTGGTTGAGGAGAGAGATGAGAGAGGAGAGAGGGGTGGGAGATTGGGGGAGAAGTAGAGTGAGAGAGAAGAAGGGGGGGGAGGGAGAGAGGTAGTAATGATGAAGAGGAGTTAGTGAAGAGGATTGGTATAGTAGAGGGGGTGAGAATAAGGGAGGTGGTAGTAGAGTGAGAGAGAGATGTAGTGAGTAGTGGGATTGTTGAGAAGAGGGGGGGAAGAGAGAGGAGGTGGGGGGAAGGGAAGAGTATGGGGAGAGAGGGGGGAGAGAGAGGTGAGAGTGGGGGAGGAATGTGAGGGTTGAGGAGAGGAGTGTAGTAGTGAAAGTAGGGGGTATGAGAGTAGATGAGAAGTGGGGGGGAGAGATGGGGGGAGGAGAGAGGGAGGGGAGAGAGAAGAGTATGTATGTAGGGGGGAGTGTGGGTGGGGTTGGGGGGGGTTTAGGTGGGGGTGGGGGGGGGAGATGGTTAAGGAGGAGAAGATTTAGGTGGGGGGAGGGTATGGGATGGTTTTTTTAGGGTATGTGATAAAGGGTAGTATTTGATGGTGAGATGAGAGGATGAGAGGGGGGATGGGGGGGGGGGGGGGGAGAGGGTGTGGGGGGGTGGGAGCGGGGTTGGGTTTATGGGTTGGAATGTGTGGGGTGGAGGGGGGATGTGGGGTTGTGGGGTATGGTGATGAGAGAAGAATGAGAGGGGGGTGGAAGTATAGGGGGGGGGGGGTATTTATAATGAGGTGTGGGTGATGGGGGTAAATATGATAAGGGGTAGGGGGTTGTGAGGGAGATTGGAGGGGTGGAGGGGGTTTGGGGGGGGGGGGGTGGTAGGGGGGGGATTGGTGGGGGAAGTAGAGGTATGGTTGTGGGGGGGGGGGGGGGGGAGGGTAGAGGTGTGGGGGGGGATGTTGGGATGAAGTGAGGGGTGGTAGGAGTAGGGTAGTGGGTGAGTAGGGGGTGTGGAGGGAGATAATAAGATTGTGGATGTTTAGAGATAGTTATTGGAGTGGTGTTTGTATGAAGTGAGTTGGGGTGTGGGGGTGGGATTTAGATGGTGGGAGGTGGGTAGGGTTTGTGTAAGTTTGATATGGGGGTGGTATTTGTGGGGGAATGGGGGTGGGTTTAATTTGTTGGTGGTAAGGGTTGGTGGGTGGTGGGGTGATGTGTGGGGTGGTTGGTGTGTTTTGGTGGGGTAATGGTTTTATTTGGGGTGGGGGGTGAATGTGTGTATGTTGTTGGGGTAGGGTGGTGGGGGGGGTTATATGTTTTTGAATTTATGTTGTTAAAATGGATAGGGTTGGGGTGGATGTATATTGATATGGTGGGATTGTGGTGGGGGGGTGGGGGTGGTGGGGTATGTGGGGGTTGGGGGGGTGTGAGGTTTAGGTTTTGGTTTTAAAGTAGAGTTTTTATATTTGGGAATGGTGGTAGGATGGGAGGGGTGAGGGATGGAGTGGATGTAGTAGGTGTGGGTGAGTGTAGATAGGAAGATAGGGGGTTTGGGGATGGGGGAAGTGGGAGGAGATGGAAAGATGGGGGGGGGATGGGTGGTGAAGGTGGGGGGGGGGGGGTTGGGATGAGTGTTGTTAGGAGGAGGGAATTTTGGGGGGATGAATAGGGGGTTAGGATTGGGGGAGGGGGAGGGGATGGTGTGGGGGTGGGGGAGTATGTAGTGGGGGGGAGGGGTGGGGTGGAGGGGGGGGGGGGTGTGTATGTTGGGGGGTGGGGGGTATGATGGTAATAGGGGGTTTGGTGTGTTATGTTTAGGGATGATGGGTGGGGTTTGTTATGGGGTGGGGGTTGTGGTGGTTGTGTGATATTTGTTTAATGGGGGGGTGAGATAGGGGGGATATAGGAGTATTGGTTGTAATTATAAGGAGAATTTGGGTGTTAGATGGAGGGGGGGGTGGGTGGGGTGTGTGTGGGGGGTTGGGGTGGTAGTGTGGGAAAGTAGATGAGGCGGAGTGGAGGTTGAATTATTTTATGTTAGAGAGGTTGGGGTTTAAATTTATGTTGGGGGTGATGTTGGTGATTGGAGTATATTAAATATAGGGGTTTATGGGGGGTGTGTTGGTATGGTGGGTTATTGGGGGGTGGGGGATGTAGGAGAGAGGTTAGGGAATGGTAAATAATGGAGGGGTTGGGGTGGGGGGGGGGGTGGGGTAATGATGGTGGGGATGGGTTAAGGGGTGTTAGGGGGGGGGGTGTGGGTGGGATGGGGGTGGTTGTGTGTATATTTGTGGGTTGGGGATGAATAATTTTTATAGGATGTAGGGGGGGGAGGAAGAATAGGGAGGAGGAGAGAGAAAGTAGTTAAGAAGGGGGGTGATATGATATAGGTTGGGGTTTATGGGTGAGGTTGGGTGAAGTGGATAATTGGAAGGTGAAGGGTTAGGATTAGGATATAGGGGATGAAGGGAAGAGGAGGGGGTGGAGAGATGATGTAATGGAAATTAGTGTTGTGGGGGGTGGGGGGTGAGGTGGGGGAGTTAAGTGGTTAGTGGGGGGAGTTAGTGGGGGGAAGAGAAGTAGGGGTGAGGGAGAGGGGGGAGAGAGAGTATTTGGGGAGAGTGAGAGGGAGTGAAGAGAGGGGTATGGGAGAGAGGGGTGAGAGTAGGTGAAAAGAGTAGAGGAGAGATAGAGGGAGATGATAGGAGAGGGAGATGATGATGATGGGGGTGTGAGAGGGATGTGAGAGGGGAAGGGGGTGTTTAGGGTGGTGTGGGTTTGGGAATAATTTTTATGGGTGGATGGGGAGGGAGGAATGTGAGGGGGGGGGGGGTAATTTTGGGGGGTGGGGGGTGGGGAGGTGAGGTGGGGGGGTGGGGTTGGGGGGGGGGGGGGTAGGTATTTTTGTTTGTGTGGGGGGGGGGGGGGTGGGGTATGGGGTTAATAGGGGGTTTAATGGGGGGTATTTAGGGGGGGGGTGAAGTGTGGGGTTGTTGTAGTGGGGAGAGGGGGATGAGTGTTGGTGGGGTGTGGGTATATGGGTTTAGGGTTATAGGAGATGGGGGTTTGGGGGAGGTGTGTGGGGTGGGGATTGGGGGGGGTGGGGTTTTGGTGTTAGATGTAAGTTAGAGGTAGATTGGGGTATATGTGTGAGGGATTGGAGTTGGTTTAGGGGGTTTAGGGGGGTGAGTAGTGATATGGGAGGGGTAAGAAGAGAGATGAGAGAGGGAGGGGGTATGAGGGTAGGAGAAGAGTGGGAGAAGATGGGAGAGGGATAGGAGGGGGGGGATAGAGGGGGGGTGAGAAGGGGAGGGAAGTTAGTAGGATGGAGAGAGAGAGAGTATAGAGTGAGGGGAGTGATAGGGATGAGAGATAGGTGTTGTTGGGGATATTAGAGTGAGAGAAGTAGGGGGATAAGAGGGGTAGAGAGGGAGGTGATGAGGGAGGGGGGAGATGAGATGAGTGTGGGGGGTGGGGGATGTATAAGGTATGGGATGGGGGAGTGGTGATTAGAATTGTTATAAGGTGGATTGGGATTGTATAGGGTTGTGGTGGTGGGGGTGTGGGTGTTGGGTGTTGGGGGGGGGGGGGGGGGGGTAGGATGTTGGGTGGTGGGATGGGGGGGGGGGGGGGGGGGGGGGGGATGTGTAAGGGATAAGGATAGTTTGTGGGGGGGATTGAGGGAAGGAAGGAGAAGGGTTGTAGTTGGTGGTAGTGGGGGTGTGGGGGGATGTAGGGGAGTTAGGGGAGTGGGTGGGGGGGTTGGGGGGTATAGAGGTTATTAGAGTTGAGTGGGTTAATGAGGAGGGAAATTTATGAGGTGTTGGATGGTAAGATGTGTATTGAGGGGTGTTGGTATTTATTGGGTATGGGGGTGGGGGGGATTGTTGGTGGTGGGTGGGGGGTAGGGGTGGGTTGTGGGGTTGGGGTGTTGGGGGGGGGTGTGTGGTGATTGTGGTGTAATTGGGTGTAGGTGTGTAATGGTGGATGGGTGTGTGTGGGTATTGTTGGGGTTAAGTTGTTGGTTGTGTTGGTGTGGGGTAGTGTGTGGGGTGTATTGGGTTTTTGGGTGTTGAATTTTTTTAGTATGGGTGGGGGGGGGAGGGGGGGGGGGTAGGGAATGTTGGTGGGGGGGTGGGATTGGTGGGTGTGGGGTATGGAGGGGGTTGGTGTTTGGGGGGGGGTTGGGTGGTGATGGGGGTGGGGGTGGGGGGTGTGTTGGGGATTTGGGGGGGGTGGGGGTGTGTGGGTTGGTGGGGGGGGTTGGGGTGGGTGAGTTGTGGGGTAGGGGGGGGGGGGGTGGGGGTGGGGTTGGATGGTGGGGTGGGGTTAGTGTGTGGGTTGTGGGTGAGGGGGGGGTTGGATGGGTTGGGTTTGTATTGGTAGGGAGGGGGGGGGTGGGGGGGGGGTATGGGGGGGGTGTGGATTGAGGTAGTTGTTGGGGGGGGGTGTGGGGTAGGAGGGGGGGGGGTTTTGGTGTGTGTTTTTGGGGTGGTGGTTGGGGGGGTGGGGTTGGGGATTGGGTTGTTGATGGGGTGGGTGTGTGATGGTTAGGGGTGTGGGGGTGGATATGGGTTGGGGTGTTTTGGTTTGTGTGTTTGGGGTATGGGTTTGGTATGGGGGGGGAGTATAGTGAAGGAATGTATGTGTGTGTATGGATGGGGGGGGGGTTGGTTTTATTTGGGGTTAGTGGTGATGGGTGGTTTTAAGTGGGTAGTTGGTGGGGGGGGGGTATGGGGGGGTTGATGGTTTGGGGGGTTGGGGTGGTGGGGTGGGGGGGTGGGGGTGGGGGGGTGTGGGGGGGGGGGGGTGGGGGGTGTGGGGGGGGGGGGGGGTGGGTGGGTGGGGGTGGGGGGGTGGGGGTGGGGTGGTGGGGGGGGGGGGGGTGGGGGGTGTGGGGGGGGGGGGGTTGGGGGGGTTGGGGGGGTGGGGGGGGTGGGGGGGGGGGGGGGGGGGGGGGGGGGGGGGGGGTGGGGGGGGGGGGGGGGGGGGGGTGGGGGGGGGGGGGGGGGGGTGGTTGGGGGGGGGGGGGGGGGGGGGGGGGGGGGGGGGGGGTGGGGGGTGGGGGGGGGGGGGGGGTGGGGGGGGGGTGGGGGGGGGGGGGGGTGGGTGGGTGGGGGGTTTTGGTGGGTTGGGTTTGGGTTTGGTTGATGTTTGGGTTGTGGTTATGTAGTGTTGTTTTATTGGATTTGGTATTTGTTTGTTTGTGTTAGGGGGTGTTGGGGGAGGGGGGGGGTGGGGGGGTTTGTTTGGTGTAGTGGTGTGAGGGGAGGATGGGGGTGGGGGGGGAATTTTTGGGGGGGTTGGGGGGGGGATTGTAGGGGTGGGTGGGTGGGGGGGTGTTTTTGTGGTTAGGGGGGGTGGTGTGTGGGGGTTTATGGGAGTGGGAATTGATTATTATGTTGTGGGTGGGGGGGGGGTTATGGTGGGGGTGGTTGGGTGTTGTTGGTTGTGGGGGTGGGGATTGGGGGGTGGGGGGGGGGGTGATGATGGGTGGGTTGGGGGGGTTGATTGGTTTGGGGTGGGGGGGGGGTGGGGGTGGTGATGTGGGGGGGGGGGGGGGTGGGGGGTGGGGTGGTGGTGTGTGGGGAGAGGTAGGGGTTATTGTGGGTGGGGGGGGTGAGGGAGAGTATGATGAGGGGGGGGATGTTTGTGATGAATAAGGTTTAATTATGGGGAGAGTATGGGGGGTAATGGGGGGGGGTATGTGATGTTGTGTGGGTTGTATGTGGTGGTGGGGGGTGTGTGGGGGGGGGGGTAGGTGGGTGGGGTGGGGGGGGGTTGGGGGGGTTGGTGGGGGGGGGGGGGGGGGGGGTGTATGTGATTTGGGGGTGTAGGGGGGTGAGTATGGTATATAGGGGGGGTGAGGGTTGAGTTTTGGGATGGGGAGGGGGGGGGGGGGGGTGTTGGTGTGATGGGGGGGGGAGATTGTGTGGGATGGTGAATGGGTTGTTTGGGAGGGGTATTGGGTGGTATGGGGGGTGGATTTTGGGGGTTGGGGGGGGATGGGTTGGGGGGGGGTGGGTGGATGGGGGTAGGTGGGGGTTGGTGGTGGTTAAGATGTGGGGTATTGGGTGTGATGGGGGGGGGGGTAGGGGTTGGTTTGTGGGGGGGGTGTGGGGGTGTAGGGGTGTAGTGGGGGGTATTGTGGGGGGTGTGGGGGGTGATTGGTATGTAGTGTATGTGTATGGGATGGGGATATGGGGAGTGGATGGTGTAGGGGGGGGGGGGGGGGGAGTTGGGGGTGGTTGTGGGAGGGGGGGGTTGGTTGGGGTGTGTGTGGAGTTTGGGGATTGGATTGTTTGTGGGTATGGGGGGTGTTGTTTTTTATGTTGTGGGGTTGAGTGTGGGGGGGGTATGGGGGTGATGTTGGGTTTAGGTGTTTATTTTGGGTGGGTGGGGGTTTTGTGGGATATGGGTTAGGTGTGGTGGGTTGTGTGGAGGGGGGGGGGTGGGGTATGGTGGGTTGGTGGGGGTTTTAGTGGGGGGGGGGGGGGTGGTGGGTGGGGGTGGTGGGGGGTTGGGGGGTTGGGGGTTATGATTGGGGGTGGGGGGGGGTGGTGTTGTGTTATGTGGGGGGGTGATTGAGAGGTAGATAGGGGGGGGGGGGGGGGTGGGGTTAGTGGGTGATGAGGTGGTGTTTAGGGGGTGTGTGGGGGGGGTATGGAGTTTGTGGGGGATAGTATGGGGTGTGGTGGGGTATGGGGGTGGGGGTGGTATGGGTTGGGATGTGGGTGGGGGGGGGGGTGTGATGGGGTGTTGGTGGGTGGAGTGTTGGTGGATTAGGGGGGTTGTGGGATAGGGGGGGGGGGGGGGGGTGGGTAGGTTGGTGTGTTGTGTTGTGGGGGGGGGTATATGTAGGGGGGGTGGAGGGGGGGGGTAGGGTTAGGGGTGGGGGGGGGGGGGGGTATGGGGATTTAGGGGGGTGGATGTTTGTGGGTAAGTGTAGGTTGATTGGGTGGGGGGGTGGGGAGTGTGGATATGTGGGGTGTGTAAATAGTTGTGGTGAGTTTGGGGGGGGTTGGTTATGGGTGGGTTGGGGGGGGGGTGTGGGGGGGGGGTGTGGGGGTGGGGGGGTGGGTTGTGAGGGGGGGGGGTGGAAGAGAAGTATTTTTGTTTTGGGATGGGTGGGGAGGTATGGGGGTTTTGGTGGTGTTGTGTGGGGGGGTGGGGGGGGGTAAGGGGGGGGGGGGTATGGGGGATTAGTTGTGGGTGGGGGATGGGGTGGGGGATAGGGTGGGGTTGTAGAGGTTATGTGGGGGTTTGGGGAGTTGTAGTGGGGGATGGTGGGTTTTGGGGGGTTGGGGGTGTAGGGGTGGGGATGAGGGGGGTTAGGTGTTGGGTTGTAGTGGGGAGTGGGGGGTTTTGTTGGTAAGTTGGAGGGTTGAGGTGTTTTTTGGGGATGGAGGGGTGTAGGGGGGATATGGTGGGGTAATATGTTTGGGTTGGGTGGGTGAGGGGGTTGGGAGGTGGGAGGGTGGGTGGTGGGGGGGGGGGGGTTTTTGGTGTTTGGGGGGGGGTTGGTGGGTGGGGGGGGGTTTGGTGGGGGGGGAGGTTTTGGGTGTGGTAGTGGTTGTTTGGTGGTGGGGGGGAGGTGGTGGTGGGTTTTTGGGGTGGGGTGGGTGGTGTGGGTGGGGGGGGGTTGGGGGGGTGGGGGGGGGGGTGGGGGGGTGGTGTTGGGGGGTTTTGTTGGTGGGGGGGTTGGTTAGGGGGTTTTGTGGGGTTTTTTGGGGGGGGATTGGGGGTTGGTGGGTGGGGGGGGGGGGGGTGTTTGGTGTGTGGGGTGTGGGTGGGGGGTGGGGGTTTGGGGGGGTTATGGGGGTGTAGTGAAGGTTTGGGGGTTGGGGGGGAATTGGGGGGTGGGGGGTTGGGTGTGGGTTTTTGTGGTGATATTGTGTGTAGGGGGTGGGTTTGGGGGTGTGGAATGTGGGGGTATGTGTGGGGGGGGGGATGGGTGGGAATGGTTGTTAGGGTTGAATTGGGGGGGGTTTGTGGGGATGGGGGGGGGTTAGGGGGGTTGGGATAGGTGGTTGGGGGTTAATGTGGGGGGGGGGGGGTATTTTGTGGTGAAAGGTGTGTAATGGTGGGTTAATGGGAGGTTGTATGTTGGTGGGATATGGGGGGGGGTTTATGTGGGTGGGTGTAATGGGGTGGGGTTTTTGGTTTTAATTGGTTGTGTATATGTGGTGGTTGGTATATTGGTGTGTGGTATTGTGTGGGAAGTTGGGTATGGGGGTGTTGAATGTGGTGGTGAAGGGTGGTTGATGTGTTGGGTTATGGGGTTGTATTTGTTGGGTTTGGGGGTGGGGGATATGGGTGGGGGTGATTGGTGGGGGTGTGTTGTGGGGGGTAATTGGGGGGTGTATGGATGTTGTATTGGGGGTGAATGGTGGGGTAAGGTGTGAGTGTTTGGTGGGGGTGTTATGTTTGGGTGTGGTGGGTTTTAGGGTGGTGGTAATTGTGTGGGTATGTTGGGGGGGGGTAATTGGGGGGTGGTGATGTTGTGGTTTGTGGGGTTTGGTGGTGGTTAGGTGGGGATAGGGGTGGGGGATTGGGGTATTGGGGGGGGGGGGGGGTGGGGTATTGGGGGGTTATATTTTGGGGGAATGGGTGGGTAGGGGGTGTGGTAATTGTGGTGTTAATGTTGTGTGTATTTGGGTGGTATGTGGTGGGTGGGAAGTGGGGGTGTTGGTGTGTGGTAATTGGGGGGTGGGAATGGGGGTTGAATTGGGGGTGGTGAGTTTGGTGCTGGGGGGGGATAGTGGGGGTTGTGTTGGGTGGGGGTAAGGGGGGGGATATGTGGGGGTTTTTTTGTGGTATGGGGTTGTGTGGGGGTTTGTGGGGGGGATGTTATGGTGGGGGGGGTGGGGGAAGGGGGTGGGAGTGGTGTGGGGTGTTTGGGTGGTTTTGGGTGGGGGGGGGGGGGGTAGAGGTGGTGGGGGGGGGGGGGTGTGGTTTTGTGGGAGTTGTGGTTGTAGGGGGGTGGGAAGGTGGATATTTGTGGTAATTGGTGGATGATTGGGTGTGGGGGTAATTTGGGTTGAATTGGGTATTGGGTTTGGGGTGTCATTTGGTGTGGAAGGGTGTGGTAATGTGGGTGTTTGGGGGGATTGGTGTTAGGGGGTTTTGTGGGTTTTATTTGTGGTAGTTGGGGGGGGGGGGGGTTAGGGGGGGTGTTGTATTGGGTGGTGGAATTTGGGTGGTGGGTGGGGGAATGGGTGGTTTTTTGTGAATGGGGGGGTGGGGGTGGGGTATGGGGGGGGGGGTTATGTTGTGGGGTTTGGGTTGTTGTTGGGGTTATGATTGGGGGTGGGTGGTTGTTTTGGGGGGTATAGGGGGGGGTGGTTTAGGGGGGTATTTGTGGTGGGGGGGGTGGTGGGTGGGTGTGTTTGGGGGGGGGGGGGGGGGGGGGGAAGGGGGTTATGGATTTTGGAGTGTTTGTAGTATGGGAAATGTGTGTTGGGGGGGTATTGGGGGGGGGGGGTGTGGTTTTTGGGTTGTGGTTGGGGTGGGGGGGGGTTTTGGTGGTGTATGGGTGAGGGGTTTGGTGGGTTGGTGTTGGGTTGTGGAGGGGTTGGTTGGGGGTTGTGGAGTGTGGGGGGGTGGGGGGTGGGGGGGTTGGGGGGGGGAGGTAGTGGGGTTTTTGGGGGTGGTTGGGGGGGGATGGGGTGGGGGGGGGGTTTTTGGGGGTGGGTTTGTGAGAGATTAGTATTTGTTGTGTGGGGTGTGGGGGGTGGGGGGGGATATGGGGGTGTATAATTGGTAGTGGAAGTGGGTGTAGGAGGTGAGGGGGGGGGGAGGGGTGTGTGTTTGTGTGTTGTGTGTCTGTCTGTGTGTGTGTGTACATGTGTGTCTGTGTGTGTGTCTGTGTCTGTATCTGTGTGTGTGTGTGTGTGTCTGTCTGTGTGTGTGTGTCTGTGTGTACATGTGTGTTTCTGTGTGTCTGTGTGTGTGTGTGTGTGTGTGTGTGTGTGTCTGTGTGTGTGTCTGTGTGTGTGTGTCTGTGTGTGTGTGTGTCTATGTGTGTGTGTCTGTGTGTGTGTGTGTGTGTGTGTCTGTGTGTGTGTGTGTGTGTGTGTCTGTGTGTGTGTGTGTCTGTGTGTGTGTGTACATGTGTGTGTGTGTCTGTATCTGTGTGTGTGTGTGTCTGTGTGTGTGTGTCTGTGTGTGTGTGTACATGTGTGTGTGTGTCTGTATCTGTGTGTGTGTGTGTGTGTCTGTGTGCACTTGTTTTCAACTCCTGGTGGGTTCCATAACCTGAGATTCCACTCACGTCATGGGGACTGGTTTTACGTAGTGGGGCCCGAACACCGGACCCCACTGGTCCAAGCTTAATAATCAATGGGTAATGCTTTTCTAACGGTCCTTATGCAGTCTCTGTAAAAATATGGAAAGGACCCCTGGAGGTTTACTTTCCTGAAAAAAGTGTGTTATGTGTCGGAACCCTGGTGGTGGGTTGCGGGATATCAAGGAGGGGCACACTGGGGCAATTTCAGTCCAGCAGGCTGGAGCCAATCATGGAGCAGCACAACAGAGGAAATCAGGTGTCAGGCTAGAAAAAGGTGCAAGTGTGTGGTTCATTAGGCTGCAGAAATCACAGAGCAGCACACTGAAGCGCACGCTTACAAACCACTGGTAAGTGCTGACTACAAGTCATGACTTCAAATTGTTATATAGAATGATTACAAATTATTTGTTGTTTGTGCAGCTTAGTCAAGAGTCCCTAATTGATGAAGTCGACTCAGATTCTGACGATTTAACTGTCAAGAAGAAACCTGTAAAAAAGTATGGAAAAAGAAAAATCAAAAACACTTTTCTTCAAGACTCGGAAAGTGACGAACCAAAGGCAAATAAGATTGTTATCATGCAGCTGCAAAAGAAGAAAAATGGGGGGCGAGTATACAGCAAGAGACACTTCTGCCTCTACTGTTCAATGTCCTGCCACAAAATGTCCCGTCATTTGAAAACATGGAAATGAAAGTGACGTAGCCAGAGCATTGGCTCTACCTGTGAAATCTAAAGCACGTAAACTTCAGTTTGATTTGATCAGGAATAGTGGAAACCGTGAGCACAATTTTGAGGTTTTAAAGGCCGGCATTGGAACTTTAGTCCCAGCTAAACAGCCAAATTCCCCAGTTAAATCCAGTGAGTTTTTGCACTGTATAGACTGTGGGGCATTGCTTAAGCGAAAGTCGCTGTGGAGGCATGTGGCCAGGTGCCGGCTTTCACAGAAAGATGCCCAGGCTAAACCAGGTAGACGTAGGGTCCAGTCCCTCTGCTCCCTAGCCCAGCCTGTACCGGAGGGCATCAGCAAAAAGCTGTGGTCTTTAATTTCGGCAATGCATCAGGATGAGGTCACGGGTGTTGTCAAAGCAGAAAAGGGGATTCTGAGACTCGGAGAGCACCTGTACTTAAAACACGGGCATGATAAGACAAAGCATGATTACATTAGGCAGAAAATGAGAGAAGTCGGTAGGTTAATTAACGAAGCAAAAACCGCAGGGAAACTGAAAACAATTAAGGATTTCTTTATTCCTTCCAACTTTAACCATGTGATTGATGCAGTCAGGTCTGTGGCTGGATATGATGAGGAAACAAATCAATACAAGACTCCATCCTTGGCCCTCAAACTCGGCCATAGCCTCAGAAAGCTAGCAGATATTCTTGAATGTGACTCAAAAATGGAGCATTGTGTTGATGAACTATTTATTAAAAACCTCCAACGAAGCCGGCTGCTTTTTGAGAAGAGGTGGGACGTCTGTGTTTCTTCTGCTGCCCTACAGACCCTCCGGCAAGCCAA